ACGAATTATTGTATCCAATCATAATTCCAGATTAAGATGTCTATTTTAGATATTTCTTCTCTGTTTGGTAAAGATTGGAATGTATATATTTCTAAAGATTGAATATAAAGGTATTTTACTCACTTGTAGTCCTTAAATGGTATTATTCATTATACATCTTCATAGATAATTCTTTTTATTGTAAATGTGATCAATATCTAAAAGTTACAACCATCTGTTGAGCTTCCATTCTTAGTTTGCTATTACCATATGGAATTTGAGGTGAGGTTGTTTAAGACATGGGAAACCACTCACAGAAGCAAACCCTATGCTTCACTTTTCCTTTCACTTTTTTACTTTGTTAATAGAATATGACATAGATGATCTAATTTTATTACATTGTCTCCAGATGGTGTGATGAAGAATGTTATATATATTGTAAGAATCATTCGTGTGCATAGAAGGCCATCGTTTTGCTGAGTACTAATGCTTTTTCCAAATGGAACATTGTTCTGATGGTGCATTAACAACAAAAATAGGTTAATGTGAAGGTGTTTAATTAATACATGTTTATAAATGAGCAGAATATTGTCATGTTTTATTGCTTGCCAATTTTTATTGTCAATTTTCTTTCTTGGAGTTAACTGCAAAATTATGAGAATGCTAGAGGTCAGCAAGCTGAATTATCAAGACAATTCTTCCTGCCAAAGGGTTGTGCAAGGTGTTTTCAAAACAATTAGATATAAACAATACTCTCCTTGGCATGGTGTCTTGGACAGCTACTGCAGATATCTAAAAACAAAAGAATGAAATATGAATTAAATGAACGAATGAGAAAAAACAATTCTCATTGCTGGTAATACAGCATATCCAAATTTCCTATTTTTATCAGTTGCACTCCCATCAGAGTTAAACTGGTTGCTTTTTTTTTTTTTACTACAGTTGTCTAACTGAGAAAGAAAGAAAGAAAGAAATTGTTTTTACACACATAAGCCTTAGAATCCAGGTGCAAACAGAGTAAAAAGAAAGAACATTAATAACCATAATAAATGTATAAGCAAACCACATTTTCAGATACCTCCAAATTAGATTAACTTTATGCACCATTGCGTCTCTTATTGTTGTTGGATTACAGCTCCTTTTGTCTTGCGCTGTTGAGTTTGGATGATTGGGAATAATGGGTGTGTACATCTTGGAAGAAGTTGGGTTTGCAAAGTGGTAACTTGGTCCTGGAAATATGTTGTAATAACAGTGACAGTTGAAAGAATGAAGTCATATGTCCCCATAATTGACAAACAATAAGAGATTTATTGAGTTGTTGGCTTGGCATCAGAATAGGAGCTTTTTGCCCTTACCTGACTTAATTATCAGTCTTGTATGTCTATCATGTTATAATTTCATTGCAACTGTGTCAACAGGGTTCCTTCATAGAAGACAATGAGGTTTAAATGCAAATAGATAGAACTACCCAGAGGGCTGTAATACAGTAGAACCTCTGGTCATGAATGCTTCTGACTATGACCAAATTGGGTTCCGACCAAAAAATTCACAAAACTTTTGAATTTGGTCATGAACACATACTCGGGTGGTGATCAAACACGACCCCTGACCCAAGAATTCCTGAAGACAAAACATTAGAAGACAAAGAAATTGCCAAAGTTATGGAACGAATTATGGTCGTATAATTCTGTATGTAGATGCCTCTGTTTAAAACCGGGGGAGTAGCTTTTTGACCCTCCTGAATTAGAGCTGTATGATGAAGAATTAATTTGACCCATGTTAACATCACATATTTTCAGATGAATAGCCAGCAGAAAAACCTTCATTTATGGTTTGTGGTTTTTTCCTTCCTAGCTTTTAAATTTTATTCTATTCATTTATCATGATTTTTACTTTTTGAAATCTTTTCCCCTCTAATATTATAGCATATTATAAGTTCTAATTATTTGTTCTGAACAACTTTTCCCTATTACTTGATTTCCGATGCATCTGTTACAAAGAAGTCCACATGTGCCTTATTGGGGTTGATTTGGTGGATCATGTCATGTTACTCCCATTAAAGTCCATCGGCAGATTTTTTTCCCTATGTCTAGATTGAGTAACATGTTCAGCCTATTGCACTTTGAGCTAGTGCTGTTGGAGCTCTACCACCTGCTAGCATAGGGGTGTCAAACTCAGGTGCTTAAATCTGGCCTGTGGGGCCAGCCTGGAAATAGCAAAGGACCACCCTGCAGTGCCTCTGGCAGTGCCCCCCCCACGTCATTTTGGCTGACAGAATGCTGCAGGAGACGTCTGTTCCATCTCCTAGTCCTGGCCAGCTCGCAGAGGAGAACTACAATGCTGATCTGGCCCTCAAAGAAATCCAGTTTGACACCCCTGTTTTAGCAGAAATTCTGGTCATTTGCTGGAGGCCAGAGTTTAAGTCAAACAACAACAAAATCCAAGCTCTAACTGTAGTCTCAGCCTGACCTTGACAGTAGTGTAAGAATGATTTTAACTTTTTAAATTTATTTTAGATGTTGCCCAACTCCAATTGAGTCTGGAAGGCTCGCAGTATGAACAAAATGTATTATGTTTCTGCTAATGTGCTCATATGTTATTGTCTGCATTTGATCAGTTAACTATTCTAGTTTATATATTCACATTCCATTCTGAGTTATAAAAACATAATTCTGTCCCTGTATTGGAAGTGTATTTTCTGTTTTAGAGCACATGATGGACTTCACCTATTTCTTAAAATCTGCCGGTACAAGCTATTCTTCAACATGCTTCTCATTTAAAATGTAGCTTTTCTGCCCTTGTGCTTCAAAATGTTGGAAGATATGGTCTCCTAAATCTCCAAGGGGGAAAAGGAAGTTAGCCTTTATTTCTTTGCAATATAATGCAAGACACAGCCTTCAGAGGGGTTAGATTTATGTGCATTACACATTTAAAATGACAAAAGAAAGAATGGAAAATGAAAAACAAAGATTCTGTGTTAGGGTTTGTTTGTTTTTTTGCAAAGAGTTGTTAGTACAAACAAGTTATCTCATTTTAGATTGCTTCTGTGAATCCTGATAATGTCTTAATTTTGAGGTTTTAAAAATATTAAAATAAAATGTGTGAATTGTTTCAGTGCCATATAGTATCGCTGGTTATACTTTTTTCAGTGTCTTGCTGTAATTGCTATTTAAAACTGACAGTCTTTGATGACTCATAAAAGATTAGGGAAACATAATAGAGATAGTTTGGTGTAGTGATTGAGGGCTAGAAAGCAGATCATGAGTTTTAATTTTACTTTGGCACAAAACCAGCTGGTTAACTTTGGGCCAGTTACTCTCTCAGCCCAAGGAAGAAAGTGGCAAAGCACTTCTAAAAATCTTGCCAAGAAAAACTGCAGAGACTTATCCAGGTAGACACCATAAGTCTAAAAACTGACTTGTGTGCATGCATGCTGCAAAATATAAATTAATATAGTATTTCTCCTGAACAATATAGGTGTCCCATATGTATTGACAATATATAAATTATCTCTGATGTGCTATGTGCTATATTTTTCATTCTACACTCTTAATAAAAAATCTTTTGTGACTTTGCTGTTACTTTTCCTATTCTTGTTTTGAGCATGTTATTGGAATCAGTACAATCGTGAGGCAGACTTCTGAGAATGAGAAACAGAACTAGGAACAGCCATTTTTAACAAGACCAAAATATAAATTATAGTTAAGACAATGTTACAGTGGAGAAATGTGAAACATGCCAGCTCTTGAAACAGGACCCAACTTATAGTTCCTAGGATTTATTGCAATAAAGTTGTGCTTTCTATTAAACATGCTTACTGAAAATGTCATTGGAGAATTGTTATTTTTTAAGTTGATTTCCCAAAGTAGTAACTAAACATAATGGATGCTGTGCAACCAGTTCTTTCGATCATCTGGTAACATGCAGAAGCAATCACAGCTGATTTTCTATTTTCAGAAGCACCAATCATGGACAAAAAAAATTTCAGTGGGTTAACAGTTAATGTCATATAGTGTTCGGGTCCTACAGGCAGTGGCAAAGAGGAGAATTTGATGTGAGCTGCTGTTTCATATGCAGAATATGTAGGAGAAAGATATAATCGCACAAAGAACTGTCCGTTGTGCTGAAGTTTGCTTGCTACATTTACAATGGACTTTTTTTATTGTTGTGGTTTGCTATCAGATATTAGAGCCTGCTGCTCTAATCATCCATCCATAATGGAAGCAAAGCAGAATTCTAATATATTTTCCTTGAGAATGGGAACTATATCTTTATTTCTGAAACATCCATTGTTAATTAAACTACAAATACTAACAAAACCAAATCTGAGATAACAGATTTAGAAAAGCTAAATTAGAAAATATCTGAATAAACCAAGGATGCAGACCCCCTATTTCACTGTTAATGTAGTTAGAACATGTGACTTTCTGACAGTAAATATCTATAGGGTTTGAAAGTGATAGTAATGAAACCTCTTCTTTGCGTGTCATAGAATTGTTGAGGTTGTCTAGTAAGGAAGTTACTTGGTTTCTTTGGTTTAGCTGTGATGATTTTCAATTTAGATCTAATGTGTCCTGTTTTCTTCCTGGGCCTAGTTTGTTTATTTAGTAGGTTTAGAACAGGGCTGTCAAACTCATAGCCCAGGAGTCAGGTGCGTCTTACACTGGCCACGCCCACATCCGGTTTAGCGAAGGAGAAAGAAAGTTGTGATACGTCACGTGACATCGCTATAATGATGCAAGTTTGACACCCCTGGTTTGGAATGAGATGTTTTGTAAATTCCTGATCTTGGACTTGGCAAGCCCTGAAAAGACTGTTACAGAAAAACTGAGGCGGGAATGTGTAAAAGCAGCAGATGTAGATGCTAGAAACAGCAACCATTAAATAAAAGTGATTGTATTAATTTGAAGCAATCATCTAATTATCTAGCTATGATTCAATTCACAGCTAAATCACTTAGCTCAATGTTCTCACCTCCTCCCACCTTTTAAAGCAACGTCTTATTTTGCTTCTCAAAACAGCACAGCTAAATACAGCGTGGTGACATTTCTACCTCGATTCCTGTATGAACAGATTAGAAAAGCTGCAAATGCTTTCTTCCTCTTCATTGCCTTACTGCAGGTATGTCTATATTGAAATAAAACAACTGTATCTGTACAGTGGCAGGTGAACAGTCTGTGACCACCAACTCTTGTAGCAGTGATGAAGTTTCATAATGCATAAGCCTATACGATAAGTTTGCATGATGAACTCAGTGTAGTCCAACAAATGTATGTAGATCATTTGTCCGTTTTATGCTGAAACTTAATAGCACGGGTAAATTGAACATTACCCTAGAAAATATAATGATAAATTCTTTTAGCCTATTGTTATACACAATAGGGTGGCACGATGGTTCAGCGGTTAAGACACAATGGCTTGTCAACTGGAAAGCCCGGGTTTGAGACCCGAGTGCCATGCAATGGGGTGACCTCCCATTGTTCACCTCAGCTCCTGCCAACCTAGCAGTTTTAAAGTATGCAAGTGTGAGTAGATAAATAGGTAGTGCTTTGCTGGGAAGTATTTTCATGCTGGCCACATGATGACAGTAGCATCTCTCAGACCACACAGGCTCCGTCAGCTGAGAATCAGAAATGAGCATCACTCCTTGAGTTAGTTACAACAGGGGAAACCTTTCAACCTTTACATGATAGTATTAAAGCAGGGAATAGCAAAATAGAAATATTGGAAATCGCAATCATATCCAAAAGCAGACTTGGAATTTGGATTTTCCAATATAGGTTCAACGATTTCAGCTGAAGCTCAGAATTGTACAGGTCAGAGAAAATAAAAAGGCAGCAGTCATTTGACAGTAATGTCAGCCAATCAGGAAGCTCTCATTATTTAACAAATAATAGGAGTCAATCTTGAACATACTAATACTTTTTTGGTGTCTGTATTTCCTGCTTTTGGGGCCTCGGTTGTTAACTGAGTAGAATTCTTATCACATCTGATTGGGCTGGGATGATGTGCGCTGCAGTTTAACAACATCAGGAAAAAAAAAAGAAAAAAATTGGTTTGAGTAGAGCTTTGAACTTTGATCACACATAATCCAATGTAGTTACTTTAGTTAGGCTCCAATATTATAGGCCAATGGTGGCTAACCTTTTTGGGCTCCTGTGCCAAAAATTGCATGCATGCTTACGCTCACGTGCTCGCATGTCAGCACCTAGAAGGCAGAGTGCAAAGCCTACAGAGGCTTCCCTCAAGCCTCTGGCAGGCCGAAAAAGGCCCGAAAATTAGCTGGGAGGCGCACGCATGCACAGTGAGGTAAGTTTGCCTGGGGCTCGCGAGCCCGCACAAATGGCTCTGCGTGCCACCTGTGGCATGCATGCCATAGGTTCGCCATCACAGTTATAGGCTAATGACACTTCCTAGTATGGACAGGGTTACTCAGAACAGCTGCAGGTAGTTTCCTAAATATTTTATAAATTTCCATACATTTTATAAATTCTGTCAAGTCATATTTTTCTGATTTTGGATCTCTGGCAAGATAAATCTTTGGATCTCTAGCAAGATAAAGGTTTATTCTGAGTGCTGAAGCAACATAAAAAAAATAAGATAAGAATAAATTCCTCAGTCATGTGCCCACTCTAAATTCCCCCATCTGAAATTAGAAAAAAACTACTTTTCTTTTGTAATATATACTTTTCTTCAGCAGTGCCATCTCCTTTCTTTGAATACTTTTCTACATACATACATTTCTTTTTCAGCAAATTCCAGAGGTTTCCCCAACTGGAAGATATACTACCTTGGTGCCATTACTATTTATTCTAACAATTGCTGGCATCAAAGAAATCATAGAAGATTATGTGAGTATAAATTTAGATTTTGGAAGAAATGTCTCTCTCTTTGCAACGTAGCAAGAAGCAATCAGATGTATAAAGCTACTTAATTTGCATGATTACTCAAGTCACTCTAATAGTAACTCCACTTTGAGACAATGCGATACTGAAGATTAAAATTAAACATAGTTATTTTTAATTTTAAAAAATACAACAAGATAAACTAGGAGTGTACTTACTATCTTAATAATTAGAAAATAATTACAGATAGTCCTCAGTTTAGCACTGGTCACTTAGTGACTGTTCAACATTACGATGAACCTCCCTAGGGATAATATTACAATATATGGAAAGGTTTATATGCTATAAAGAAAAGTTTTCTAGAATTTCATGTGTGAAATTGCATAAGTAGCTATGCTATGCAGAAATGCAATGAAAGGACAGTTGTTCATCGCTTGTACTAATTGCTTTAATGCTAGATTAGCCAAAAAGCTGTGAAGATATTACTGAATGTATTCAGTATATTACATATTTAGTATATCAGAATATCAAATATTACTGAAATAACATTCCCGTCAACCAGGGTTGATTATAATGGCTTGGATTGATGGGAATTGGGATTCTGTCTAAAATATCTGGAAGGTTATGGATTACCATTTCCTGCCCTATTGTGTGATCCAGAAAATGATCCAACAGAGAGGATATCCAAGCATTTTTCATGGGAAAAGTCCTCAGGGTAATCTTCAACATTATCATGTAGCTAAAACAAAAAATAATAGTTGATGTGAAAAACTTTATTATATGAGGTACTACAGAGATAATACCAGTTAAAGCCGACAATATGGGACTAAGTAAATTAAAAAATTGATCTGAGTAAAAACCCTAATGCTGCTGAACTCTGTAAGTCTATAAACTACCTAAATGAGCGAATAGCTAGGAATCAGAATTAAACAATGGGGGGAAAACAGACATTTAATACTAAGTACATTCCTTGAACATAGAACTGCCTAAACAACATTGGTGAAAAATCCAGTGTTATCTATTCTATGAAATTTCTTGATATATTGATATATGTCAGTGGAGTAGTTTCTTCTCTGTATATATTCCCTCAATTTGGGGAATCATCTAGATATGATTCAAAGTAGGAAGGTGAATAAAGGGAAGTAGGGGAAGGGAAGGGAAAGGAAGCAAAGGGAAATAATCAAACATCTCCTCAACTTTTCTTGGCACAGTTGTTAAATGAATCCCTGCAGTTGTTACGTTAATAACACAATTGTGAAGTCAGTCTGGCTTCCCCATTGATTTTGCTTGTCAGAAGGTCGCAAATGGCCTCAGGGCAGTGCAGCCCTCATAAATATGAGTCAGTTGCCAAGTGTCTGAATATGGATCATGGGGCCATGGAGATGCTGCACCGGTTGTAAGTGTGAAGAATGGTCATAAATCACTTTTTTTTTACTTTGAACGGTCACTAAATGAACTGTTGTAAATTGAGGACTACCTGTAGAAGGATTCATATTAATGCGTAGGAGAGAAAAGCTTATTTATGTATTTATATCCGCCTTTATTATTTTTGTAAATAACTCAAAGCGGCTAACACACATGATACTCCTTCTTCCTTTTATATTCCCCACAACAACAATCCTATGAGGTGAGATGGGCTGAATGAGAAACTCCAATATATTATATTACATATAATAACTGCAGCAAGAATAGCCTTTGCCCAGAATTGGAAAAGTGAAAGCATTCCCTCCAATATTTTGATAATAAAAAAGGTTTTAGAGTTTTAGAATACTCTACCTGACTCTGTGGTTTCTTCCCCAAACCCCAAAAACTTTAACCTTAGACTGTCTACTATTGACCTCACCCCTTTCCTAAGAGGCCTGTAGGGGGCGTCCATAAGCGCACCAACGTGCCTACCGTCCCTGTCCTATTGTTTCTTTTATTTTTCTTATATGTACCCATTTCATGTATTCATAACTATGTAACTATAAGTACCTATAATAGGTACTTATGCCTATTATCTTGTAAGTGATTGACAAATCAAAATAAATAAATAAAATAAAAGTGTGCAGAAACAGATAGGCATTCAATGGAAATGAAGGAGAGAGAAGAGACAGAGTACTACAAAATTTGGAATTTATGGTATAATTGGATGCAAGGTAGACACAAAATAGAGAGATTAAATGAAAGGTTATGGTGTAATGAAATAATTTGGTATGAATAGGCAGAACTATGCATAGTTATGTATAAATATGTAAATAACTATGTAAATATATCAAAATATGACATAAATCAAATGTAAAATAAGTATAATAATATTTAGTAGTATTCTATATACTTAAGAATATGTCAAAGTGAGTGAACACTACTACAAGTATGCTGCAATGAATGGAAATATGTTTTTAATTGTTTTTTAATTGTAGAATTTGTTTAATAAAGTTTTTTAAATATTAAAAAGAGAGAGAGAGAGATGTGACTGACCCCAGCTGGCTTTTATGCCTAAGATGGGAGTCTCTTGGCTTTTAGCCTGGCATCTTAAGTCCAAACTGGCCAAACCAAACTGGCTTCCCTATAATATTAACACGTACTGGAAACATTAATGAAGCCTTTATGTTTTGTCTTAATCTTTCTGGCCAGTTTCATTCAGTTGACTATACCTAAATGTTTGGCTTTTTTATTTCTCAACAGAAAAGACACAAAGCTGACAGTACAGTGAACAGAAAGAAAACAATAGGTAAGGCCTTTTATGTTTCTCCCATACAAATTATATGGTAGGAAGGGTTATAGCCTCCTTAGAGGAATAGTTATATCTGGTTTTATTAATGTTTGGTTTATAGTTAACTGTGAATAATATGATCCCCAAGTTTAAGAATCAGGAGAAAGCTCCCAATTCTATAAATGGGAATAGCTTGCACTGAGAGTTGTATCTCTTGCCTTTGTACTGTGAACATTAAGGGCTGCTAATTTTCATTAGGTGACTTTTATTATAAATTATGTAAGTATTTCTCATATCATACTTTGATTTGTTTTAATAATGTTTTGCCTTTGCCCTGTAGCTATATCTTCTGAATTATTTGCTGTACCTTTTAAGGTAATAGCTAATTCAGTTCTAAATAAACGAATATGAGAACCAATTTATTGCTAGTCAGTGATTAATACCACTAGTTGCATAATTTAATATTGTACTCTTCTGTCTAATTTATGTGGGTAGAAATAACATCGATTGGGTTGAAGCATTTAATGACAACAGAGCACTTATCTGGAAATTATCACTGAATTTAATGATTATAGACGGGCTTTATTAAGTTTCAAAGAAAGATAAAATACAAAATAGTGAAAACAGAAAAGATTAAAAAAGGAGGGGCAGATCAAAGGAGGAAGAAGTTAAAAAGTAACAAAAATAAAAGAGAGAATACAAAGGAAAATTGAGTTCTGACTTTCTTCAGTACACATACAAATAATCTTACTTTAAATTAAAACAAAACATATAAACAATATACAAAGTTAATAAAAAAAAAACCAAAACTATATAGCAATGTAACCGCCTACCCTAAGATTAAACATAGACCTTAACAATGTACAATACATGTGTCTTATAATACACAATATTTCTACAATCATAACAAATCTAATGATCAAATCCTAAACTCAAAACTTCATTTATTTTTCTCAAGCAAGAAGTCCAAAAGTGATCCCCATATAGGAAGAAAGCTAGGTAAACTATCTTTTATCAAAGTAGTCAATTTTGCCATCGGTGCTAGTTCCATTAATTTCACTATCCATTTGTGGGAATTTGCATATTGAATTTAATGACATAGAATGCCACTTTGTAAGTAATTTCAGTATATTCAGGTCAATTCTCTTAATGGTTTTTAACATGGCAATCCATATCTAAGACAGCAGTAATAATTACACTACTGTTGCAAGCTGCAATTTTTTAAATTAAGATACACAATGTTAACAATGAAGGTTTGAAAATACAAAAATTGGCCCACTCACAAACTACAGTCTCAATTTGTAAGGAGAAACTGAGTAGCATTTTTTAAAGTTGAAATTAACCTCAGAAAAGGGCACAATACATTAGCTACTTCACCAATAATGGAATAACAAAGACTGTTTTCTGACTCATAGGCAGCTCTTGATTCTGCCAATCAGAAATCAATATGCAGCAATGGCATTTTCTTGCCTTAATGCATGTATTGTGGAAAGGAAGAAAATAAAAGGAAAACAGTTATGGTAAAACACAAGAGGAAAATCCTTCGTAAAATTTTGTGAAGGAGCTTTGATTGCCAATGAAAGATTTACCCAGAAGTACTCTTAAGAATGCTGCCTTGTCCTTCACTGCCAGTTCAATGAAGAAAAGACAGCCCTAGAAATGAGTCTGCTGGTAGCATATGGCAAAGTTCCTGAATTCACATTGGGTAAGCTGGAGTTCTGATTATAAGCAATCCACATAAACTTATCTAAACCTTCTCAAACATCAGGAAGGCATCACTTAATTGCCCATAAAGTAGAAAATACTACGATAGATGGATGAAGATACTTTTCAGGTCCATTGAGCATCCATCTACCCTGGTTCTTCTGAGTTCTTGTCATATGTTAACTTTTGATTTTCAAAGGAAAAAATATATATTTTTCTTTCCCTTTTCCAGTGTTAAGAAATGGAACATGGGAGGATATCATGTGGAAAGAGGTAAGAATTATTTTTAAGATGTTCTGGGAATTTGCAGGTCTTTGATGGGATGATAAAATTATGTTGATCTTCTTGGGTATTTACAGCTGGGCACCATGAATTTTATCTGAATATTTTCCCATTGTGTATTCATTACCATTGTCAAGAAAAGCTTATTTATATGAATGTATATCCTTTGAACAATGTAGATGTACAGTATACAGCTCCTTGTCCATGGCAGTATGGAGAAGATGACATCAAACTTCTAAATGGCATCTATTATTTCTTTTTGATTACCTCAGAATCTCTTGTACAATTAGTGATTTTGTTCTCTGAGGAGGGAAGATAATACTATCTATAAACAAAAGGAGACGTTGGAAACTCATACAATTTTAGAACAACATTGTGTCCCCTTGCCTAAAATCTGTATTCACTTAGCTGGAATTAAATTAATAGAACTGGGATTAAGGTAAGGTAAGGAGAGGAAAGGAAAGGAAAGGAAAGGAAAGGGGAAAAAAGACCTCTAAAACAGGTCACATAAGCCTGGGTTACATGCACTGGACATAAAATGTTGGCACAGGGAGGGAGAAAACAAAATGAGGAATGGAATTACAGATCCTGGAATAGGCCATGATTGTCTGGCTATAATTGTGCATATGAGTGCATCAGAGTACAATTTGATGCAGATCAGATTTATAGGCTTTAAATCTTCATTCTGATAAGCAATTAATAATGCATGTCTTAAATCTTTTGAGGAAGAGAGCCAGTAATCCAATTCGTGAAATTAACTGTATAAGGTAACACCCAAGAAAGTACGTCTCCTGAAATGGAGGGAAGGGTGATATGAGACTATCTTTCCTTTCAGCTCTTGGACCATTCTAATTTTTGAATCCAGAAAGGAAGGGAATTTAAAACAGGCCCCTAGAAAAGGCACATTTTATTTTAGTTAGGAAAATCATGCTATTATAGAAAGAGATTGGTAAAAAACACTATAAATAAAATTCAACAAGAAGCAATACTTGATGTACCTTAGATAAATAAGGGGAAAAAATAGCAACACCTCAGAGAAAATTGAATTTTCAAGGTGTAAAATTATCTTCTATAGTTTAATTATATATATTCAAGTGTTTGTCAGCCTTACCCAGACAGGAAACACTACAAGGTGAGCTAATTCTACTTTATTGTAAAGCTACATTAACAGAATCTTGGAAGTCTAAAAATACAAATCTCCCACTGTCTTTTTTTACAGCCTGATAAGTTAGGGAAGATCCTTTCTGAGTTTTTTCCTCTGCCTATTATGCAGCTGTGGGCTCCCTCTCTGAAATATCCGATTGAATCTCAAGGAAGCATCTTTCCCCCAGCAACGTTCGTTCAAGTTCAGTTCTTTATTTATAATGGACAGAATATTGCCAAATTAAAGCTATAAATTTCTAAGCTACTAGATATATGAACAGATTTTAGGGTATGGTGATTCTGAACTTCTTCCTCCCTCCTCCCTCCAACTCGGGACTGTGCTTCCTCTTAAGCTGGGCCTCTCTCTTGGAAAGCTCTGTGTTGCCAAAGCTTTTCCCTACTGCTTCTGCAGGTGTCCATTACATCACCTTGGGTGACAAGCCATCATTCTTTAAGGGGTTCTACTTGATTCACATTAACGGGAGTCTGCACTGGCATATTGTACGTCTGTTGGATCATTCTTGAGCTAAACATTTGGCAAGAACCATTGCCTCTCTCTTTTCCAGTGTTCTGCTTTCCTGGCAGTTCCTCACAACAGTTTCCTTGAATACTTATTTATTATTTATTGGATTTCTTACCTGCTTTAGTCTTGAAACACTTGGCAGTTTGCAGTAATGAAGACATAGAAATAAAATGTCCATGGTGAAAAATGAAAACTCATTAAATCATAAATCCATAATTACAGTTTCCTTGGGTGACATTCATACTCTAGTTTCCAGAAGACCATACTGAAGATGGAGACCTCACTTTAAGCAGGAAGCTGTTCAAAAGTGTAGGAACTATACTATCTAATTACAACTTCATGGTAGTGTTAAATGTCATTAAAAAGCAAAGCCCTCTATGGAATATACTTAAGGGAAATGGAGACTGTCTATGTTTTTTTCCAGGACAAATAAATCAGACAGATTGACTTTGGCTGAAGAACATTTTGATGATATTTTGGCACCAAGTCATATAAGGTTTTATAGATAATGACAAGAGCCTTACACCCAAAAGTGTAGTATTTTTATGATCGCTCATGCAACCAATAAAGGAGCTGCTGCACTCTGAACTAATTGAAGCTTCCCGGTGATTTTCAAGGACTTCCATGTGGACAATGACCCTAGTTCCATTCAAGAACTGAGTAATGGATGGTACTTAATAGACTTGATGATCCTCAAAAAAAAAAACCCACCTAGCTTATTACAGACAAAACATAAAGTATAAATGCACAGAAGATCTGCTTGATGTAGATTGCATAAATACACCTCTATCTATCAACCCCAGGATTTGAATCTTTTCTCTTGCTCTTTCTGGTCAGTGAACTCCTGGCTATTGTTTTTTCCAGACTTGAGTTTGGATTGCACCTGCTCTATATTTACACAGCAGTTCTGTGTGATTTCACAGTATTGTTTCCTGCCCTTTTACTTTCATACTTTCTGTGGAAATTTGACAGCCTTACTAATGGCCTGTGAGGATTTATGACATAAGCTCTCTACAACACATACATCTAAACATATAGATAACCTTTATGGGGTTCAAGAGTAAAACTGCTTTCTTTTTAAATACTTCCAAATTAAAGTACATTAAAGCAGAACTTGGCTTATTAGATGAAATATATCAACATATATTGATGGCTTATAATCTAAAGTGTTGCTTTGTATATCATATATGATTAAGTTCCTGAGCTTTTTCTCAGAATTTAGAGTTAGGACTGAACATTGGTTAGTTAAAGAGGACAATCATTCAGTTTACAGAGTGACAGAGCATCAACAGTTTGCAATACATCTCTCCATATTGAATTTAAAACTTCACAGTGTATATACTATAATACATAGGATTTCATATCAAACTTCTTCAGTTGTTTTGGAAGAATAAAGCTAGTATGCCTATTCATTGACAGATCATTATTTTATGAAGAAAAAGTCCAGTTCAGTGTGGTGAAGGCACAGCTGGTTTCTTCCTAGAATATTTTACATCCTTGAAGAGCTGCAGCCTTTATTCATGGCCAAAGGTTCACCTTGAATATTACCCTTTCATTCTTACAGAAGAAAGTTTTGTTGGCAGTTGATGGACATCACTAATGTCTATTACATATTTCTGTTGCTCAAAAAAATTGTTGGGTTCCTTTAGTCCTTTAACTGGTTCCTCAGGGAACCATGTTTCCAGCTTTAAGGCATTTTGATTTAGCTATAGTACTCCATGACTTTGGCAGACTGTATAGTTACAGTGGTCATGCAACTGTTATCTTCAAGGGATCATTATAGTCCTTTATTCAAACATAGTACCTTGTTGCACCTTGAACTCTGAATTCACTTGGTTATTTCTTTTTGCTTTCTGACATAAGATTTCAAGTCAGTCAGAAAAACTAGGCTAGTGATCCAATTTATTCAAGTCGATTCTGATAGAAGCGTAGACTTTCTACTTTGAACTGGGACATATTAACTATCTAGCTTTTACTGTCAAAGTGACAAGCATCATATCACATATATCTTCAAATTACCCATATCAGTAATTAATACAATGGTTCTTATTCTCATTTGGGCATATGTCAACTGTACTTGTGACATTCACTAACAAGGTTATCTTTTTTGTAGTATCATTCTCTAGGGATGATAAATATATATAGCTATAATTGGGAATTGTGACTACAGAAAATCCACAGATAAATGTTCTAGAACTTCTCATGTTTCTGAAAAGTAGAACAGAACAGAATAGAATAGAATAGAATAGAATAGAATAGAATAGAATAGAATAGAATAGAATTCTTTATTGGCACACAAGGAATTTGTTTAGTTGGACACACAAGGAATTTGTCTGGGTGCAAATGCTCTCAGTGTACATAAAAGAAAAGATATATTCATCAAGAATCATAAGGTACAACATTTAATAATAGTCATAACGTACAATAAGCAATCAAATCATACTAGAAAACACTTAAAAGAAATTGTAAGGATACAAGTGACAAAGTTACAGTCATACAGTCAACAAGTGGGAGGGGATGGGTGATAAGGAGTGATGAGAAGATTAATAGTAATAGTAGTGCAGACTTTGTAAATAATTGGGCAGTGTTGAGGGAATTATTTGTTTAGCAAAGTGATGGCGTTCGGGGAAAAACTGTCCTTGTGTCTAGTTGTTCTGGTGTGCAGTGCTCTATAGCATTGTTTTGAGGGTAGGAGTTGAAACAGCTTATGTCCAGGATGTGAGGGGTCTGTAAATATTTTCACAGCCCTCTTTATATACAGGTCCTCAATTGAAGGCAGGTTGGTAGTAATTGTTTTTTCTGCAGTCCTAATTACTCTCTGAAGTCTGTGTCTGTCTTGTTGGGTTGCAGAACCAAACCAGACAGTTATAGAGATGCAGATGACAAATTCAATAATTCTCTGTAGAAAAGTACTCCAAGTGTTCAAGGTTAAGCTTTCAGTGGATATTACTATGGCATATCAACCCAAGGGAAGAAAAGAGTTGTATCTTTTTTTCCCATAGTGCAGAGTTTTGGGGTCTGATTCTGTCTGTTCAGGAAAATGTTCTGATCTATCAGTTTATGTCCCCACCCAATGCTGAATGTACACTGTTTTTCATTAGAACTTATTTTAGCCATGAATATCTTTCAGTAAAGGTATCTTTCATGGAAGGGATTATCGCTTAATTTATTCCTACTCATTCTTTTTTGTTTGACATTAAACTGATTTCACATCTTTACTATTCAATAGTAGTTAAACAAAGTATTGTTTATCCCTCTTTTCTATCTAACAAGAAAAGTTTACCCATGGTTGCAATTTAACCTTCTCTTTCTGACACTTGGAGGGTTTGACTTCAAATACCAGGAGACATAAAAGGTGTTTTAGATACATCCCAAAAGTATTCTGTGTTCAAATACTATGCATCGAAATGTAAACATTTTAAAGTTTGCTGAACATTGGAAATTTGATCTTCTCTTACTGATGTGTCATCTTTTTTTAAACTGAGCTAAAATCTGTTTGTATTGCACTCCTGTGGACTTGTTATGGATTTGTCAGTTATCTCCACGTCTCAAGATCTTATCCAGGTTTCTCTCTCTCTCTCTCTCTCTCTCTCTCTCTCCACATGAAGATTAAATGTTTTCTCAAAGGCATGCATAACTTGCATACCCTGAAAATGATACCAGTCTCTGCCTTTTTTCTTTTGTTTTGTCTATGTTAATGAGTCGACCTCTTCAGTCACTGGAAACTTGAGCTTTTACGTAATACCATGGGAAACTGCCTCTTTAATTCCCCTCAAAGTTTTAGCAATCTATATGCTTTATTTATTTTTATTGAAAAATACAAAAATAACAGTGGTAGTGATGTGTGTGTGGATGTGTGTATACACACACACACTACACGCACACATACATATATGCTGATGATAATATAACTTCCTGCCCATGCCATTTATTGTTTTTCTAAAAAAAACAACCTAGTCTTCATTTTCAACTTCATTTAGAAAAATTATGACATGTTGAAGCTTCGAAATAACACCCATTTCTTGTCACTGACCCATCTCCAGGTATACATCTTCTAATTCTCCCATCAGTTTTAATCCCAGAAATCATAACAAAGATGAATTTGATTATACATATAGTTGAGGTTTTTAAAAAATTCTTCTATCAATGTGACCTATCCTTAATTGTTGTTAAATTGTATTTTGTCCCCTATTATTGGGTTGGTCTTCAGAAAGAGAAGCAGCAGTCAGAAACGCTGCTAAGACAAGGTTTGGCAATGGAGCTTCCACATAATGTTCATCTCTAGAAGTTTCTGGCAGAGTGTTAAAAACTGGGAAAGGATAAGATTTAAATCTCTCTTATGGATGTCTTTGAAATTCTGTTCAGTAAAAGATAGTTACAGTTTGCTGTAACTAGTCAAGCTAAGCATCTAATATGGTTTAATCTATTCTTGGACTTTCCAGTAAGAATTTTTCCATTCATCCTAGGGAAAACAGGGGGGGGGAAGCCTTGAAACTTTATATCCAAAGCACAAAAACACACACCTTTAACAAAATCTTACAAATATCCTGCAAACATAATAGTAACTGTAGAAGGATGTGGTTTTACAAATAGGAAAGGTTTTAATGAGAAATTCCGTATGAAACTAAAACTGTAGCTATGAGAATGAATGTATTGGAAAACTCGAAAACTCTAGCTATATATTACTTGCTTGAATAAGCCCTTGTGTTTTTAAACTTGGTTAGCAGTTGTGATAAAGGTGGTAGCTTGAAGTACATCATTTGGACATTGTGCTTGGGTCTTGTTATGCAAGCTTTTTTTCCACCCTTTTATTGAGCACTCAGTTTTGTAGTATTTGCAAAACTAACTGCTGTCCACTTAGTCAAGCAAAATGCTCCATCTATGATGTACTGAGTATAGTCAGCAAGTGAGAAAATTATCTGCAGGCCAAACTGTTTTCCAAACAAATGTAACTGAACAAAGCATTGGTTTTTGCCAGTTTATCCTGTTCCTTAAGCTGCAAATATACAGATAAAGGATATTTGCAAGTTTCTAAGCTTTAATGGTTGTCATAAATTATTCCATTATAGAAGCAGAATACAAGATAACACTTAAACCGAGAAACATAAATTAGATAGAAGTCTATATTGAACAAAAGATTGTAGTCTTGTCTGTGGCTTATAATAGCAGTTTTCTTCAAAGGTGCTTTCAAGATTCTGTAATAATAATACTTTAACTGCATAAAAGTACATTCTAAAAATAATGGCAGTTGCTGTTTCTTGACCTTATCTATTCTGAAGGGCTGATACCATTCTTAAACACCTGTAGAAGCTCTTCTCCATTTCAACTTATCTTTAACTCAATCAAAGCAGAGTTGTTAATCCTCACACTATTTTCCCAGCTTATTTTTTTTTTCTGTAATGGCTAATTTGTCCCTGCTCTGAACAAAACCCTCATTCTATACTAATAGGTGAGAAACAGGGAAATGAGGAGTGTGTAATGAGGAATGGAGGTCAAATAGCAGGGGTGTTTGTCTCACTGAATTGTCTCGCTTTGCAAGGTATCACGCAGCTCTCTGCTGTTCAGTCCTCTTTATCTGTGGGTGTATTGTAGGGCACTTTCCTAGGTCAGAACCTGAGTCCCTGGTATTTAAGTCAGCAATTACCTGCACTGGGTCTGCATCATTTTTTGTTCAAGTGACACAGGCTGAAATTTCACCAGAGCAACCTCTGAATTAAAACTCTATAATGCAGTTGTGCCATTTTATCAGATGACTAACATGGAGAAGTTTGGGGTATAAAAGTGATTTTTGTCTGAATGGGGGAGGGTGTGTGTGCCAATTTAGAGATGTATTATGCCATATGAAAAAAAAACAATAGGATTTTTCACACACAAGTTCTGTGCAGGGTCAGATCTCCGTCAGTTTGAATTCACACTTTGAATTCTACTCAGAGAACCTCAGTTTTCAGGTAAGCAACCTGCTCTTTTCTTCCTTTGTTGGTAATTAACTAATCGTAGGGTGGGCTTTCTCTGTCTTTCTCTTTTTCCCTATTTCTGCTGCACTCTTGCCCCTGCTCACCAGGTGGCAGTGGGAGACTTTGTGAAGGTCACCAATGGGAAGCATCTCCCAGCAGACATGATCATTTTATCTACCAGGTCAGCTATCCCTGAATGTATATGAACTTGGGCTTCTGTTGAACTGAGGTTTTAAAGCATGTTATTTGCAAATTTAAAAATCGGTAAGCCACAGGATGAGACTGTGCTTCCTCTTCCCTCCCTTCATTGGATATATAATTTACAACATGGGGTCCAGAAAGTTGGCACACACTACACTAATCTTACACTACACTAATTCTTAATAAGAATTACCCAAAGGAGAAGGAAGATTAGCATTTGCATTGTAATTGGTCCCCCCCTCCCATTTTTAGGGTGAAATACTGCAGGTTTCTGAACTTTATAAGTTTTCTCTTACGAAAATGAAAATGAAGCTTCGTAAGATTTCTCTTACGAAGGTTCTCCTCTGGAAATATTGAATTGATAACTAGGGCATATAAAATTTTTGCTAGACCAATACGCAAATACAGCTCATCAGTCTGGAATCTGCACTGTATATCGGACATTAATATAATTGAGCGAGGAAGTATTTCATGAGAAGAATACTACACTCCTCTGCTCGCAACAGAATATCCTATATCACCAGGCTTGACATTTTGGGCTTGGACAACCTTGAACTACCCTGCCTACGGTTGGACTTAAGCATAGTACACAAAATTATCTGCTACAATTTCCTACCAGTCAATGACTACTTCAGCCTCAACCACAACAATACAACAGATACAAACTCAATGTAAACCACTCCAAATTTGATTGCAGAAAGTACATCTTCAGTAATAGAGTGGTCAACGCCTGGAATGCACTACCTGACTCTGTTGTTACATCCTCTAACCCCCACTCCTTTAACCTTAAACTATCCACTGTTGACCTCACCTCATTCCTAAGAGGTCTGCAAGGGGCGTGCATAAGTGCACAATTGTGCCTACCGTCCCTGTCCTATTGTCCCCATTTATTTGTACCTATTTCCTGTATTCTTACTCATGCTTATACTTATACCTATTATCTTGTAAGTGATTGACAAATCAAATAAATAAATAAATAAATAAAATTTCCCATTCAGGAATTAACAAAACTTGATTTTATGCTCTCTTATCTTGTACCATTCAGCAATAATTATAATATTTATTGATTTAATTTTAGCCCCTTCCTAGCAGCCTATTGAATATAAACATGCATAAAATTAATAGTAGCAATTTAAAACATTGACATATTCCAACATATATTACAATAGTGAAATCATAGATTTGCAAATTTTCCACATTATCTTCTGCTGTTAAATGAGATACAGTACATATGAATGTTTACAAAGCTAACATTTCCAACAAAAGATAATTTCTTCCTTATTGTTTGCCTAAATGGATAGGTTCTTTCAGAAATGGGCAGCATTCAAAGAAAAAAAATAATTCCAGACCTTACTAGCTAACGTCATACTTCTAAATAGTATCAAAATTGAAAACTGTTCCTGATTGAAAGAATAACTAGTTTCTTTTAAAACTGTCTTCCTGTTTGCTTTATGGTCACTTTAAAACTTTTTTTTCCTCTGAGGAAAAAGTTTGCTTCTCTACCATTTTCTCTGAATTTCCTTTCTTTTGGTCAGTGCATTTTACTGGAGAATGTTATTGTTCCATGATATTTTTAGGCGTTTCCTTAATCAGAAAATACAGCTGTTTGCCCCCAAATAGTCCAGCTGTGACGTATGCAAGGAATTGTGCCCACAGATTTCTTCTTGAGAATAAGGTGTTCTACTTTAAATTTCAAATGCTTGCTGTTTTTAAGATTCAAAAATTTCTGAAAAAGGCACACACATGTATATACACACACATAAAATATCTGTACTTTTAATATCAAGGCAAAAAGCTTTGACTGCCAATACACATTTAAACATTTCATGAAAGCCTCCAGAGCCTGTGGAGGGCAAAAACGCCCCCACCTGCTGTGATGCAAGAGGCCAACTAGATCATGTCCACCATGTCCACGTCCATCCAGTAACGGGCAGAGAACCCATTGCTAAAATTTTTGAAGCTCACCCCTGCTGCTATATCAGACCGAGTCTCCAACAATTCTTACCATCTATTATTTATTCAGGAATATAGGATTCATAATAGTTCAGTGTTCCTCCCTAAAAAAAATTAACCTTTCTTTTCACAGAAAGAGTAGTTGATAATAAGCTACACCCTTTCTTACTTATCAAGGGTATTTTTTGATGGCAAAATAATATGAGAAAGTTGTGAAAATTTCCTCAGGAAAGTAATATTTATACCACAAGCGTCTGGTCATGATTAGTGCTGGATGTGAGCTGTAGAAGTTTAAAAGAGGCAAAATGTTTGTATTGATCTACCAAATAAGTTACACTTGAAATCCACATTTTTGCATTGTGAACCAATAACCAAGAATCCCCTTCTTTTAAGACAATGCAATTATTCTGCAATTTTTCCGGAACTTTATAAAAGCCAATTAGGGCTGAGTCGCTGGAATGACCAAACAACCAAAAGGTCTGCCATGCAAGACTAAAATAAAAAAAGATGGCAAAATCTGAGTAGAATTTCAACTAAGCATCATCATCCTGGTTAAAAATAATCTATTAAATTTGATACAAGTGTTTTTTTTTAAATAAGGGGCTAGGGTAGCCTCCTCTAGCCCCTTCCACACAGCTTCATGTTAAATGTCAGGTATATTTTACTTACTGCCTTTCTTTATAAAGGCCTCAGTTCACCAGAGTTTGCATGCTGTTGAGGTAGTGGTTTTTCTGATATACTACTTTTTTTTTTAATGTGTGCCTACTAAAAAAAAAGAAAATGTCTGATTATTTAAATCCTTTTGGTAAAACTAATAATGATTTGGGGGGGAGGAAATCAGTAGTTGAATAAAATAAAGACTCTGGAAAACCAGTCACCTTTCTTTTTGAAGATTGTCTTTAAAGATGCTTGTTTTTGTTACTTTTTTTTTACAGTGAACCTCAGGCAATGTGCTATATTGAAACAGCTAATCTTGATGGAGAGACGAACCTTAAAATACGCCAGGTAAAATTAAATTTTGTTTTGGTGTTTGAAAGTGATGAAGTGATGACTTGGAAAATAGCTTGGGCTGTCTTGCAATGTTAGTTGCATGATGTGATTGTAGGTGGAGATCTGAACTTTGTTGTTGTTTTTCCTCTTAAAGGGGCATCTAGACCAAAGTTTCTTACTCTTGGCAACTTGAAGTTGCATGGATTTCAACTCACAGAATTCCCCAGCCAGCAAGGGGAATATCTGGGAGTTATAGTCCACAGGTCTTCAAGTGGCCAAGATTGAGAAATCCTGATCTAGAGGTATTTGTTAATTTTAAGACAACATAGCATGAGGCATATTGGAAAATCATTCTTGAAGATCATTGCCAGGGTTGTAATTACAAAGCTGTTTTTGTTCTAGGTCCACATTATTCAGAATTATGTATCTTGCCTGGGATCTTTGGATTTTCTGTGTTAAAGTCTTGTTCATTGAGCAATGGCTTTTATTAAACCATACTGAGAATTTTTCTTGGCAGTGAAGGAAATCAGAATTAGTCTACATATTCTATTATTTTCACAGGACCATTTGTGACTTGGGGCAGTGTATGTAAAGGCATTTTTAGGAGCTTTCAAAGAGTCTATCTGCTTGCCCTCATTGAAAAACAAAACCATTCTTATGCTTTAACAGCGACTGTTTCTTTCCAAAGTAAACGGCAGGGAGATCCAAAGTACCATTCTATTATAGCTAGAATAAAATCAGGACGTAATGACTTCACAGCAGCCAGAGGGTGATGTCTCTGTACTGATGAGGATTGTGAAGTTCTGTGGGAATTGGAAAGTTTTCTCTTATCATCCTAGGTGGTCCATGCTGACTGGAGCTGGGAATTGTAGGCTTACACAGGTTCCACTAGGAAGATAAGTTCCTAATTTGTGAAAGAGAATCGATATTTTGTCAGATGTATCTATGGCTTGGTTCTATACAGGGATTGATTCAGACAGCTAACCTCCAATCAAAAGAAGACCTGATGAAAATGTCTGGGACGATAGAGTGTGAAGGACCTAATCGTCACCTCTATGATTTCACTGGAAATCTCCGCCTTGAAAATCAAAGGTATTCAATTGATCTGAAAGCAACTGATATTTCCTCCTGTCCCCCAAACTTTTGCATGTCAAGAAGTCTCTCAAAAGTAGCTATATTCCCCTGTTCATGAAAACTGGTGATGGGGTGTGGCAAACAGCATGAACTGGAAGACAGTTAATCAAATTCTTTGTTAAATGGAAGTTATTTTCGGTTAGAAAAACATATGATAAAACCCATAAGTTGAATCCTAAGGACATGCATCTCTAGTGCTTAACAGAATGATGCTAAATGAATTCATTGAGCCAGTAAGAAATGTTGACAATAACGCTTTAAATCTGTCTGGAAAATTCAAGTAGCACAAAATATGGTGGGTAAAATATGATAGATTACAGAGTGGTACAGTGGCCTAGAGGTGGAGCTCTTAGTTCACAATCAGGAGACTGTGAGTTCAGTCCTAGGTAGAGGCAGATATTTTTCTCTGGGCACAGATGAGAATATATCTGCTGAACAAAACTCTACATTGGCAATAGGAAAGGCATCCGACCAGTAAACACTCTGCTTAGCTCTATTCAGTTGCCCCGACTCCACCCGGAAAAAGATTACTGAGTCATTAAAAGGAGATGATGAAGAAAATATGATAGATCCTCTTAGGCCTTTGTCTTGTACTTTAGCTGCTTTCTGCTGCATTGATGGCATTTTATTCCCATGGCAATTGTAGTATACTGCTTTTAATTTTTTATTTTGTTTTAATTCATTGTGTATTAGATTTTTTATAGATTTTATTCACATTTTAATTGCATGTCACCAGGAGAGATTTTTTTTTAAAAATAGGCCATAAAGAATTTTTTGAAACGATACTATTTTGGCAGTAATGATAGCAGTAGCTGATTTGATTGTATTGTTGCTGCCATTGGGGGCGGGGTTTTTAATGGATTTTTATTATATGGTGAATTTTTAAAATTTTGTAAGCTGCCTGGCATCGCCTATATAGAGTCACCTTTATTTGTATAGCCACCTGGGTGTCTGTATAAATTTGCATAATAAATACAATAAATAGCTATAACTACTTTTACTGCTCTAATTAGTATATTTGGAAAACCTATATTTTGTTTTTTATTATACTATAAACTTCTACCTTCCTTTTTCTCTTCTTTCTCATCAGTCCAGTTCCAATTGGACCTGATCAGATTTTACTAAGAGGTGCACAAATAAGGAACACTCAGTGGGTTTTAGGAATAGTTGTCTACACAGGACATGACACAAAACTTATGCAGGTAAGTATCTGTTGATCTGTTTGTAAGTCTTAACATGTTTCTGTTGGGAAGCCCAGCAATGATTTCAAGTATATCTTTATTGTTTAATAATTTGGGTATTTTAAGACTAGATCCTACTTTTTTGTAACCTATGCCTAATGAGCATAAAAAAAATAAAACATACCATAAACAATAAAAATGTCATGGAAACAATAAATACCAATGTTAAAAACAATTCAAACTGATCAGATCTGGCTTGGGAAGGAATAGCTTGACTTCTTTTTCTAAAGCAGAAAACATGGGAATAAGCCTTGAGGGAATGCACTCCATAGTTCTGAAGGAACATTGATGTCAGAATGTAACACATTTTTAACAGGACTTTCCCTACTTATGCTAATGTATGTACAAGTTTATACCAAGATAATGAAGTTCTCAACCCTATAGGATTTTACAAGTTAAAAACAACACTTGAAATTATGCCTTGAAAAATTGTAACATTAGGCATAATAACTTTCTGGCATTCTGCACCAGACTGTCAGATTTATCTTACGTGTTTGTCTTTTAGACTGAGCTGTAGTAGTTGTGATTATAATAGTGCAGAAGTTTATAGAAATTAGAAGGTTGCTGTGTTTAACTTTTTGGAGAAAATACAACTATATTTGCAGAGTATATGTACTGTAGGTATGTGCACACAGTTATAGATAGGTAATCTTAACAGACTGGCTAGTAAATGGCAAGCTATAGTTAAAATGTTAAAATAATTAGGGACTGTGTTTCCAGTTACAGCAAGGTCTTTAGTTATCTCCTTTAGTCAAGGGTCTTCAAACGTGGCAACTTGAAGACTTGTGGACTTTAACTCCCAGAATTCCTGAGCTAACAAGACTGGAGGAAGAATTCTGGGAGTTGAAGTCCACAAGTCTAAGAGCTGTCAAGTTTGAAGACTTCTGCCTTTAGTTAAAGGAGTTCTTGCTCATTCTGCTACTACTTACAGAATGCTATTCAGCAGGGATGCATAATCACCCTCATCTCATGAACTGCATTCCAGAAGATACTTCATTGGTTAATGAATTAATCTACTGTGCACATTTCCACAATAAATAGTGAACTACAAACAGGTTGGCTTTGCAGTACAAGCTAAGCAGTAAAAAACAACAAAGATTGGCAGTTGTGGAAATGCAACCAGAAGGTCTGCAACTGATCTGGTTAGGTGTGTTGTGTGAACAGTCTTCTCTCCCTTAGTATGTCTATTTCAACTTTCCCCAGTTTGATGCTACCCAGATGTGTTGAACTATCTGGTGCAACACACCTGGAAGTCACTGGATTGGAGAAGACTGGCTAATAGTGCAAAGCAGGTGGCATTCTGTGTTTTAAATGGATAGCTGTTATGGGTGGAAAGGATAAAGAGAAACACGGCTTCTGTTTTTAATAATGGATGTGAGTCTTTCATAATGTCTGGCTGTAATTTCATCTTGTTTTTATTATTCTTTTTTGTGAGCACAATTAATCATTGCAATTCTGTGGCTGATCCTTTTCAGAATTCAACCAAAGCTCCACTGAAGAGATCAAATGTAGATAAAGTTACCAATATGCAGATTCTCATTTTGTTTTGCATCCTTCTCGTCATGGCTTTAGTGAGTTCTGTGGGTGCCTTACTGTGGAACAGAACACATGGAGAAGTCATTTGGTACTTTGATTCCAATGGTGAGCAAAGACTGGATGTGCATAAATATGCTCTTATCTTGAAATCAAAAAAATCATTTTAAAATTAAGAAAGTGAATGTTCTTCAAAACGATGCACCCACCAAAAAGCACCTGAAGTTTAGTGCAAACCAGCTGCCTTACTTTCCCCATCTTGTAAATGGTAAACATGATCTGGATCTCCAAAACCCCATTCATTTACAATTTGGTGTATTGCATCCCTCTTATTGTTCTGTGTTTTTTAGTCCCCCAAAAACTAGCTATGGGTTTGTGCCAAAGAAAAACACCTGCACTCATTGTGTTGGTTGTCTAATTTGATCAGAGTGTAAAGAGTTATATGTGCAGTCAGAGCAGAGTTGACTTTGATTTCATTTTGGCATAGTACTGGTTTATCTTCTCATTTTAAATGTAGTAGGGATATTGCATAGAAGAGGCCTGAAACATGATAGCCATTACTTGATTTAAGAAAAAAATTAGAAAAGAATGAGTGTTTCAGAGCAAATATAGCTTCAGTCAGTATAGAGGCAGTTTTCAATTAGTTGGAAAGAATAAGAAGGAATCTCACTAACAAAATAAAGCAGAGGTCCCAGTTGGTATTTTTAATGCTTTATGAAAATGTCTACCATGGGGGGAGCAACTATCCTGTTCTCAAAATGGCTGTCAGAAGGGTGTGGCTTTTGTAAAGGTGGGTATCTGTGTTGTTGCAGGGTACTTATAAACTGTCCCAATCAGGGCAGTGTGTGTGTGTAAGTCAATGTTGATCCCTAACAATTGCCTGGACAAGTCCCTATAGTTTTCTGGGAAAGATTTCAGAAGTAGCTTACTATTTCCTCCTTCTTAGGGCTGAGAGAGAACAACTGGCCCAAAATACCTAGTTGCCTTTGTGTTAAGGTAAGACTAGAAATCACAGTCTCCCAGTTTCTAGCCTATCGCCTTAATCACTACACCAAGCTACACTATCTCTCAGGGGATATGAACTTGTCATAAAAGAGTTTCCAAAACAGGCAGACTATGAAGTTGTACCCTGCCACACTTTAAATAAGATATTCAGAGTAGACTGTGGACTTTCACAATACCTCCACTCTTGTCTACCTCTTGCTATATTGACAAAGGGAGCAGTGTGTTTCCTTTCCCTCGGTGATTCCTTGGCTTTCTATCCTGGTCCTTGGCCAGCTTACCTCAGATTTAACACAAGGGAGTTAGCAGAGTCTTAAACATCAATATGTGGACACAAAGCCCACACAAAATGATTTGCAGCTCTTCCTGATTATATTTCATGGGAAGACTGAATAGAGTATGGTAAGCTTTTGTGATGCAGACAATAGCAATAAATGAATACCTTTTCTGTAATGAGACAAAATGTCTTATTGGTTGCGATAGGCACTGTTCATTGTATGCTCTGCTGTGTCATCTGCTGTTTCAGGTCAGTCACTCTTTGTCTGGATACAATCACTTTGGGAAAGACAACAGTGGGTCTCATCCGCTATAGAACTGCTGCTAGCTGGGTTAGCTTCAAATAGGTGTAATGTTTATAACATAACATCATAACAGAGCCTAGCTGCTCTTTTTCCCCCCTTCTGGGTAAGAGTACATCCTGCCAAAATTAGACCTAAGCAAAAGAAAAGGAGAGGGGAGATAAGGACAATACACTTCTTAACTATGGAACCTAGATATATTTAAAGGAGGCAATGAAAAAGTTCATGAAAAGAGAGCCAAAGGGAATCAAACTGTCATATTCGCTTTGTAACTATATATGCATGATCAAAGTGATCGTTCTGGTAACACCTGCAGTTTCTACCTGCAGCTGATCAAACCAAAATCTAGATAGTCTAATGTTGTGTTTAATGGAAGAGCCTACAGAACGTCCTTTAATGGAAATTCACTCTCTTCCAGCTCTGCTTCTCAGCATCTTACATTTATTACTTGTGATTGTGAAGGAAGTTTAGGGCCATCATGGTTAATAGTAATCTGAGCCTCAGTATATTAGTTTAAACATCCCAGCATTAATTCCACAACGTAACTCTGTGTTATGTGAAAAAGTTGTTTCAACTTGTCTTAACTCTCCCACCTCTTCCGGTATATGGGTTATGGAATGGGAGATAGATCTCTGTCTTTTAGCGGTATACCAATTATAAACCTATATACCATCACTTTCTGTGGTAAGCACTTTGGGCTAGAAGCATGCTGCACAATTCTCAGTCCACAGCTACAGTTTCCACATCCCTCTATAAATATCTTTTTTTATTCTGAATTGGATAAACTCTTCTCCCCAGCTGTTCTCCCTGCTCCATAGCCTAATTTTTCCCACCCAGTTTGGATAGTAAAATTAAATCACCCCATAAAGGCATTTTGCGAGTTGGAAAAGACCAAACAATCCACGAAAATCCCTCAGTTGTACCATCCTCTGCAGATAACCAGGTGTAGTTTTCTCCTCTGCAGGAGAAAAGCTCCATAAAGCAGAGTGGTGAGCTGCATGTAAGTTTGCAACTTTTTGCATGAAGTAGAGTAGAAAAACAGAATAACAGAGTTGGAAGAGACCTTAGAGGTCTCCTAGTCCAACCCCCTGGTCAAGTAGGAGTCCCAACACCATTTCAGACAAATGTTTTCTGAAGCTTTTGAAGCTGAAGGCATCTGTGCTGAATGCTGAAATATCTGTAGAAACAAGCATCATTTGAGTGCCATTGGTAGTGGTGAAGGATCTTCTCTGATACGGTATGTTCACTGAATAATCTTGATTGGAGTGATATTGGTTTATCTTTTGAGTGAAAAATGGTTTTATATTGTGTCAACATGAACCCAATTGAATCTCAGGATGAATTGAATCAGAAATGAGATATACACTCCATATTCTCCCCTGTTTTAGTTGTCATGGTTTATCTGGTATTTTAAGTAAATGACAGGCTGTTCAGCCCAGCCCTGACTGCAATATACAAATATTAGTATTTTACTGTTTTTGGATCTTAGTAGCAATATATTAAAAAGCTTCACATGAAATTGTTAATTCATATAACTTCAAGGTCAAATAGTGAAAGCTTTGTGATTTCTTGTTTCTTAGCATTCCTTTTTGTCACATGAATTGATAGCACTGTTTCCCAATCTGTGTGTTCCACTTCTTTGGGGATTACACAATCGTATGTGTGCAGCCAATATATCTTCTCTTTCTCTAACTTCCTCTGCCTGTGTCTGTTTTAACCTGCAGAAGTCCTATCCACTAATTTTGGATATAATCTGCTGACCTTTATAATCTTGTACAACAACCTCATTCCCATCAGTCTACTGGTGACTCTGGAAGTTGTGAAGTTTACTCAGGCTCTTTTTATAAATTGGGTATGTACAATTAAATGCAACTTAGTTTAACAGCACAACAATGAGAGACAAATGGATATTAAGTTATTAGACTTTTAATAGTAGTAAAATTTGTAAAAATGTAGCACTCATATCTCCCTATCCATTGTGATTCTTTCTTAAATTGGAGGGAGAGCCTGAAATTGAAATTTTAATAAGTAAAAATAAGTATAGTTTTTTTGGAAGGTTAACAATGAATATGCAAAATAAAGACAGATTTCTTGACTTTAAGAGCCTGGGGCAGGCAGCTTACTGTCTTTCCTTCTAATTATAATTTGCTGAACCGGGTTGAAACTGGTTAAAATATGCAGAAATTGCACAAAAAATGGTTTTAGTCTTGATTGAAATACACAACATTTGAATGACTCTGATTGGTTAAGAAACAAATGTGTTATTTGACCCATCGCAATCTATGGTACAGTTTGGTGTCAGGAAGTATGTCTTGGTTTTAGGGATTTTGATTAAAAGAGATTTCAATGTTTTCTACTTTCTAATCAGAGATACGCTGAGTACCATCTTGGTATTGTATTCTTGTACCAGTTATTTTTGTCTTTTTTGTCTCTTTTCGTTTATAAATGACTAAGTTTAAAAAAATAATTATCATGTACACATTATAAACAGAACAGTATAAAACTAGCATTCAAGGATTGTGGTTTTTTGCTTGTTTTCAGGACATAGATATGTATTATACTGAAACTGATACACCTGCAATGGCCAGAACTTCAAATCTTAATGAGGAACTTGGCCAGGTAAGGATAAAGGACGGCACCATAACAAATAGGGGCTGATCCATGAATCAGTTTGAGATAAATTTGCAGGCATCTCATTTTTTAATAGCAATTTGTAAGATTAATCCAGGTGTAGCTTGTAATAAGAGTGGGGAAATCTGTGACTTTCCAGTTCTTAGCTAAACTTTTCATCAACCCATATTATTGGCTCTTACCAGTTATGTGATTGAGCTATACCTAGTCCCTTTCTGCATCGCATATTCCAGTAGGCATTTATCTAATGAGAATTGGGGTTGTTTTCATGTAGCTTGGTAAATTAATGACACTGACTATAAAACAGTTAGTTGGACTTAAGTCTACTTTAGAGTCTTTATACGAAGCTTAATATCTATTTGAACAAGTCTTCATTATCTCAGTGCCTTTTAATTTTTCATGTGGCATTTTTCAGGGAAATTATATGATTTCTTACACCAGTTATTCATTTCACAAAAGTAATGCATCTACATTATTTTATTTTTTATCTCCTTCGATAAATTTGAAGCAAAATTCAAGGTTGTGAACATAGAAAGACAAAAACAGTCTGAATAATAGATTCTGCTTTAATTTACACAGAATTAATTCCTGTGAGAAAAAGACTGATGGGGTTAATTTTAAACCTGAGTCTTTCCTGACTTTCATTCAGCAACCTAACAAGGGAGTCTTGTTCTTACTCATTAGACTGTATATTTAGTTCAAAATCTGTGTATCATCCTGCCTCTGGTGCTATCAGTCAAATGTATGACTCACTTCTGTACTGTTGTATACTAAGCTCTTATATACCGAGATAAGTTGCTGTACATTTTGCAAAAGATAACTTAGGTGCACATTTAGTTGAAGAACTAGTCACTAAGCTTTTCCCAACCTGTATTTGGAATATATTGATATGTGTTGATGGCATTTCCCAGAATCAGCCAATCTGGTCACATTGACAGGGAATTATGGGATTTGGATACTTGACAAGTCTGAAAGAACTGTTTGGGAAAGTGTGTTAAACGGTAGTTAAATCAATCAAGGCCTCATTGTATGTTTGTCCACATATCTCAGACAGGGCTCCATTAAACATTATAACCATATACTTTAGAAGAGCTTTAATTTCCAGTTTTCTCAAAGATCTACTTTGTTTTGTTCATAATAGTATATATTATTTGTCTCCTAGGTTAAATATCTATTCTCTGATAAAACAGGCACCTTAACATGCAATATTATGAATTTTAAGAAATGTAGTATTGCTGGAGTAACATATGGGTATGTACCATGCTTTTATTTGCTGTATTAGCTTAAGGGATCATTTTTATTAGATTGATATTGTCTTACATTGTGTGTGTGGGATTGTAACTCTATAGGTTTCTAGTAGTTTTCATTTTACTTACAACATTGTTAATTTTGGACCCAGAAGATCAATAATTTCATACTTTAAAGTAGCAAAATCTACCTACTCCCACCAAAGAACAAATACAATTTCTCCATTTGCTGAAATTATGATGTCTAAAGGCCTCAGAGGTTCCAAAATTGTTAGCCTGGGTGTATTGTTAGGTGGAAGTACAAACATAGAATACAGTTTGAAACAATATAATGCATACAAAATTGTTTGCATAGGATTGCTTTTCTTTCGTTAGATGTGCAAAAAATAGGCAGCAGAGACTACTTTGGTCACATTAATACAACAGGTTAACACCTGTCTTCACTGTTTTCTGAATTCATCCATTTGAGTTTACATAACACACAAAAGTGAAATGTACCACTAGGTTTGTACGCATACTGTGACACTGTATAGTCATAGGATCATGTTTTAGCTAATGTATTGTGCAATACCAGGTAGAGAGTTGATGTTACTCCTGCATTTCCAGAACCTTAAGGTTCTCAACTTACAATTATTTAACAAACATTCAAAATTACAAAATGATGTTGAAAAAAAGTAACTTACAACTGGTCCACTTACTTTTGACCATCATAGCATTCACTGGAGACACATGATTGTGATTTGGGCACCTGCAAACATCACTGATGTGTTGATAGTTGCAGCATCCCATGGTCACATGTTCACCATTTGCAGCACCCCCAGCCAGCTTACAACAAACACAGCCAAAGGAATCCAGCAGCCAGAATCTCAAGTTGTGGTTACACAATGTCTTGCTTAATGATCACTGTGATTCACTTAACAACCATGGAAAAAAAGGTTGTAAAATCAGGTGCGGTTTCATGATGCCTCGCTTGTGCACAGGTATAGAATAGGTGACACCTGGCTCAATAGTAGTAATTGTGAGGGGGCTCTTGGAGTCCTAGTGGACAATCACTTAAATATCAGCCAGCAGTGTGCTGCAGCAGCCCAAAAAGCCAACACAGTTCTAGGCTGCATAAACAGTAGAACCAAGATCACATGAATTGTTAATACCGCTTTGTCATGGCTTGGAAAGACCACACTTGGAATACTGCATCCAGTTTTGGTCACCACAATTTTAAAAAGATGTTGAGACTCTAAAAAGAGTGCAGAGAAGAGCAACAAAGATGATTAGGGGATAGAGGCTAAAGCATATAAACACTGGTTGCTGGAATTGGGTATGTCTACTTTAATAAAAAGAAGGACATGATAGCAGTGTTCTGATATCTAAGGGACAAAGAAGAGGGAGTCAACTTATTCTCCAAAGCACCTGAAGGCAGGTCAAGAGACAATGGGTGGAAACTAATCAAGGAGAGAAGCAACCTAGAACTAAGGGGGAATTTCCTGACAGTTAGAACAATTAATCAGTGGAACAACTTGCCTCCAGAAGTTGTGGATGCTCCAACACTGAAAGTTTTAAAGAAGAAATTGGATAACCCTTTGTCTGAAATGGCATAGGGTTTCCTGCCTCAGCAGGGGGTTGGACTAGAAGACCTCCAAGGTCCCTTCCAACTCTGTTATTCTGCTACTTATTGACTGCATTGATTAATGATAAATTTTCCAGTCTTTATTGTGGTGGTAAGTCGAGTACTACCTACTGTATGTTGTAGCTGCAATTCTGAGCAATTTTCAAGAAGGAAGTCACATTGGGACTTCCGGTTTGAGCTTCTTCAGCGACAGACCGAAACCTTGTCTCTGCGAGGCTTCGATCCGTGCTCGCCGCTGGAGCGCCCCAAGCTGGCTGGATTCGGGACTAAGCCACCCCGTAGAGGTGGTGAAGAGGGGGGAGACTGCCAGCAGGGTTGAGGAGAGCCGCATCTCTCCTCCCCAGCTGGCCATTACTCCCTTTCCTGAAGGCGGTTGCAGTGGTGGTAAGAAATGGCCACCACAAAGAAGAACTCGACCAGAAAAGAAGGTGCAGGAAGAAGATAAGAAGAGAAAGTTTTTGTTGACCGGGTCAAACAGCAAAAGCAACAAATAAGGTACCCTGGAATTGAAACTGTTAAAAAACAATAACATTGTTCCCTAAGAAGATTTTTAAGCTGTGAAGGAGAGAGAAAAGGGAAAAGATTTGGTTTTCTCCTTTTCCTATACTGACAGCTAAGAGACTTAAGCAACAAATTGGGAAAAAATCCACTTTGACATCAATAGGCATTTAATGCTGAAAATAAAAATTCAAAGGGATAATAAAGATTTCTGGATAATTAAAAGCTTTTGAAAACAGGAAAGGAGAGAGGAAGAATAAAAGGGTAGGATCTGGAAGGGAGGAGACTGCCTGGAATTAAAAAAGAACTTACAGCAAAATCTCAACAAGACTTCCAAAAGATACATTCTAACTGAAATATCGCAACAAAAACCCCAGGAAGAGAACATCGAAAAAGAAATAAGAAGATATAACTCGGGACTCTCTGGATTACTTGATGATTTCTGGATTCTTGGTTATTGTTTTGAATGACTAAAATCAATCGGGTGGTTGTTTAAAACTTTAAAATGGCTCCACTTTTAGAAGAATTGAAAATGGAACTTAAAAAGTACAAAGAAGATGCACAAGAAGGGAGAGGTTCTTTTGGCTTTGTATTTCAGTTTTTAGAAATAGAGATTTGAAATTATGAGAAACAACAAGAAATGCCTGCAGAACAAGAAGAAGCCATCTTTAATGAACAAGTAGTCTTAAATGCGGGGGGGGGAAGGAAAGGGGGGAAAGAGAATGGAAAGTTTAAGATTGGGAAAATCAACTCCCACCACCACCACCCACCCAAAATAGAGTGAAAAATAAGTATAAAATCAGAAAGCAACAGAAGAGGGAAATGCAGAAGAGAGAATTAGAACCAGAGAGACAAGGGGGTAAAAAGGGGAGGGAGAAGATGAGAGGGAAGAAAGAAAGGAAAATAAGTTATAAAGGACAGAAGCAACATATAGAGAAACAGGGCCTATTTAGAGATAATGGGTGAAAACTTAATGGAAAAAGGGATTCTGCAAAGGTACATAAGATAGTATGGTTATATTAGAAGCAGAAATAATTTTAGAAAATATGAAATAATGTATGATTAAAATGTCTGATAAAATAGCTATTGTAATTCAGTGGAATAAAGTGTGTATTATAAGAATGTGCCAAGCAGAATCCGATTGGAAGTTATGTATTATGTATTATATTGAAGGTCATAAATTTAAGGTATATATTGAAGTTTAAATAAGAGTTATAAAGATATAACTCGTAATAAAAGATATAAAGGTGTCATACTCCAATTAGTAACTACAGGAGAAAATTTGTTTAATGAGAAAAGATAATATGAAATTGAAACAGAACAGACGAAAGTATAAATATAATGATTTGAATTGAGATGAGATCATCAAAATAAAATTGAGAAAATTAAAAGAGGGGAAAAACTATATAGAAAATGTAAAATAGTATAAGATATGGAATAGAATACAAAAAGGAGCATGAAATTGAGTTTTGTGTCTGTATAAAGAAGTTCAACCCAGGACCATGTTATTTTCAAAAAAGATGTTTTACTTGTATTTTGTGTGTGAAAACCCAAATAAAACTTTATTTAAAAAAAAGAAGGAAGTCACATTAATTGTAGCCAGTAGGCACAGAATTGTAACATTAGTCCAATTTCTAGGCAGAAGCAAAAGTTTGATTCTATCGAATGTTGTACACATGCTCGCAATTGATTCTCTTGTACTTGCATGGAAGAAGCATCTTTGGAGAGAGACATATCATTTATTCAGCAGTAGCTTCTTTCTAATCGGGATAGGCAAACCATCAGTTTATATTTCATTTTTTCCCCTGTTTAGTCACTTCCCAGAACTGGCAAGAGAATGTTCATCAGAAGATTTCAGGTAAATAAATATTGGGTACTGGTAATGTGTAATTGTTGTAATTGTAGGCCTGTAAGATGGCTCAAGATTGGGCACTTTGGGTACTCTTGGGGGCTTTGGGGGGTTGAACAATAGGAAAACATACATACAGGAGGGGCCCTGGAGAAAAAAAGAGGTCTTGTATTCTTTTATGGAGGGACGCAATGGCTAAGACACTGAGCTTGTCAATAAGAAGGGTCGGCAGTGCGGCGGTTCAAATCCCCAGCACTGCATAACAGAGTGAGCTCCCATTACTTGTCCCAGCTTCTGCCAATCTAGCAGTTCAAAAGCATGTAAAAATGCAAGTAGAAAAATAAGGGCCACTTTGGTGCAAAGGTAACAGTAGTCCATGTGCCTTTGGCGTTTAGTCATGCCGGCCACATGACCATGGAGATGTCCTTGGGTAGCGCAGGCTCTTCTGCTTTGTAACGGAGGTGAGTGCCACCCCCTAGAGCCGGAAGCAACCAGCACGTATGTGCGAAGGGACACTTTACCTTCACCTTATTCTTTCATGATACCCTCCCCTGACTTAAGGACTTCTGGTGTGTTTATTTTCAATTCTCAGAATCCCCCATGCTGGCTTAGATACTGCGTTGGGTGGCTGTATAAATCTTCTTAACAAAATGAATAAAATAAAAATAGGGGTCTGAGTTCAACCTAACTGGACAGCAGAGTAGATAAAGAAACAAATAAATGCAATGAAACATGCCATGGAGTGAAACAGGAGATGATTCTGAAAACAAAAGGCTGTATCAGTAGGAAAGTTTAATTATCATCGGAATTACTCTTCTGATAAAAAAAAACAGATAAATGTATTTGGTACAGGCAGTCTTTGACTTACAAAAGTTCATTTAGTGACCGTTCAAAGTTACAACGGCACTGAAAAAAGTGACTTATGACCGTTTTTCACAATTATGACCATTGTATCATCATGTGATCAAAATTCAGAGGTTTGGCAACTGGTTCATTCTTATGACCGTTGCAGCATCCCAGGATCATTTGATCCCCTTTTGCAACCTTCTGTCAAACAAAGTCAATGGGGGAAGCCAGATTCATTTAATAACTGGGATACTAACTGATCAAGTGCAGTGATTTACTTAACAACGGTGGCCAGAAATGTTGTAAAATGGGGCAAAAATCCACTTAACAAATGTTCCATTTCACAACAGAAATGTTGAGCTCCATTGTGGTCATAAGTCGAGAACTATCTGCATTTCATTATTGGACTCGTCATTTCCAAACCATAATATATGCACTTAATAGAAATGCAGCTCTTCAGGAATCTTACCACCCTTTTTATTATATTCTTAGCCAGCTTCCACCTCCTATTAGTGAATCTTGTGAATTTGATGATCCAAGACTGCTGCAGAACATCGAGGCTGATCACGTAAGGCCTTTCTTCAGAATTTTCCCATGAACTATTGCTAAAATCTTTGTTGCAGTCATAAAACACACGGGTATAAACTATTCATTTGTGGCCTCAATAGCCTTCCTTTATGATCTAGACCAGGGGTGTCAAACTCATTTCATTGAGGGCCTCATCAGGGTTGTGTTTGACCTTGGGGGGCCGGGGTGGGCGTGGCCAGGATGGCCATGGCCAGCTCAACGTCACTTGTGTCAGAGGCGCCTGTGATGGCCTGAGTGCTCTGCCAGTGAAAAACGGGTTCCCAATCTCTGTTTTCAGCTGGGACGGCCTCCTGCAACCTTCTGCCAGTGAAAACTGAGCTGTCAGAGGGCTGCAGAAGGCTGTCCCAGCTGAAAACAGAGATTGGGAGCCTGTTTTCGCTGGCAGAGTCACTATGGGCCAGTCCTTTGCTGCTTCCAGGCCAGTGGCCTCACGGGCCACCCTAGATCCGGATCTGCCCCATGGGCCTTGAGTTTGACACTCTGATCTAGATCACACCACACTCTAAACTATGGCATAGTTTGCCCTAGTGCAATATGTACTAACTGGGAATCATGGGTTAACTTGTGGTTAATTGAAAGTACTTTTATCACAACTATGCTCTTAGTTTACAATAGCTCAATTTACCTTGGCCGTGGCCTCTGTGTCTTCTACCTTGAAGTAAGAATTTTGGCTTCTCCTTCTGGTCTCTAGACCTAGGAACAAGAATCCGAATGGCCAGGAATGGTGTTTCTCTGGGTGCAGCAATAGTATTTTTCCATGGTCCTTTGTTTTCACTTTCCTAAGTACAGTATGCAGGGAAATGAAATTTAAAAAATCAAGAGAGTGGGGAAAAGATCAGGTGCAAATATGACATGGATTCTGGTTGATAGAGATGGTGGCCAGCAAATAGCATTTGGCTGTGATATGCTATATAACCGAATGCCCTCTCTGGGTATAAGTATTGTAGCTGTGATTTGCCTTAAGCCAGGCTTAGTGTGTTGACTAATGTGCTTATTGGATAGCTTAGAGGGAAACCATGAGACTTATCACTTTTTGTGGGGTAGGGTGGGATTATGAATGAATCTTCTATCCATTCCTCTTTCTGTGGCTGGTACTTAGAGATAACTCTGAGCTAATGGTTTAAACCATATGGTTTGATATTCAGCAGTAAAATAAATAGGGCATCACTGCTGATTGTCCATCAAAGGGTGAATAGCAGCTTTGTAGAAGAGCTGATGTGATAAAATTGCCCTCATTGTTCTAGAAAATTGGGTGGATGGGATCTATTGTAAATTGTGAACATAGACAAAAGCAAACTAAATAATTGATTTAACTGTAATGTAGGGAAATTATGGGATGTCTCTCCAGGCCTGACTTTGCTGGAAAAAGTAGATTGCTTTGTGTTATCAGACCAAGCTTGTGCTAAGGGCATGTATCAGGAGGTTAGGTGATATTCTTTTCATATGAACAATGATGGCAAGAGAAGGCAAGAAACAAAGAGGATGATTGATCTCACCTGGCAAAGCTGTTCTTACCTTATTACCTTAGATAATTATATTATGCAGCTTATTGAATTTTACTTGGCTAAAATCCAATAAGCTGTCTAATGTAATTATCGTTTTGAAAAATAACAGAGGTGAAGTAGCATCGAGCCACTTTAGTTGCTCTCTTCCTCTAACAGAAAATTGAACTTTTTTTCCACAACGTCACAGGTCATGTTCATTGGACTAACATGACCCTTGCATTTCAGCCCACAGCTATGCACATCAAAGAATTCCTCACTCTGCTGGCTGTGTGTCACACGGTTGTTCCAGAAAGACACGAAAACACCATCATCTACCAGGCCTCCTCTCCAGGTTAGTTACTGACCCTTCCATTGAAACAAAGAGCCATTGAAAGGGACAAGGGACTGAGGGAATCTTATCTAGGACACAAGGCAGATTGTGTTGAATTTATATAAATTTACTGTACCCACGTTCATACATACACCATCTAGAGCAGGGGTATCAAACTCAAGGTCCACAGGGGTGCTTAGATCTGGCTTGTGGGGCTACCCTGGAAACAGTGGACCAGCTCTTGGTGCCTCTGCCAGCGAAAACGGAGCTTGGGAGGGGTGAGCTCCCTTTTCGCTGGCAGAGGGCTACAGGAAGCCATTGCAGCTGAAAACCCGGGCTACCACAGGTGCCCCCGACACAAGTGATGTCCAGCTGCCACACCTATCCCAGCCATGCCTCCGCCCGGCCGCCTGAAGTCAAACACAACCCTGATGTGGCCTTCAATGAAATTGAGTTTGACACCCCTGATTTAGAGCAGCAATATCCAACCTTGGCAACTTTAAAATTTGTGGACTTCAATTCTCAAAATTCCCCAGCCAGCATAGGGAATTCTGGGAATTGACATCCACAAGTCTTAAAGTCGCCATGAGTTATGATCTCTAGACTAGAGTTATTAGAGTGAAGACCAGGAGCTTCCTGCAGTCTAATGTTAGGAACAAGAACGTTGTGGTCAATGCAGATAGAGAATAACAAGGTATTCTTTGTAGCTGAAGCTTCAGGCCTATGATTGGTTTCCTGGACATTGTCCAGTTCTGTGGCAACAGGAGGATTGCGCAGGGGGCAAGACAAGTACAAAGAAAAATAGGACTGAGGAATAAATAGCTCCAAGTAAGTTCTTTTGTTGAACTTGGTCCCCCACCCCACCTAAAAGAAACCAGAGTAATTTTTGTCTGAATCAGAGATTTCACATTTGCTGAAAAGAGGTAGATTTTTTTTTGGCATTCTGTTTGGAATTAGATGAAAAAGATCACCTTAGTTTTTCTCTTCTTCTTAGATTTACCTCTTTGTCCCAATATTACCTCTACAACACTCTAAAGCAATGTGATTTTAGGATTATATTTCATTGATGTTGAAAGAGTTTGATTTTATTTGATGGTTTTGAACTATTTTAATGTGTGGTCTATTTTGCTCAAAAGTTGCTAAGAGTGGTACAGAAATGATACAGATGTGATACAGAATTGCTTTTAAAGTGGTACAGAAATGTTTTTAAAAATAAACCAATCAAGTAGATTACAGGTAGTCCTCAACTTACAGCAGTTCATTTAGTGACCTTTCAAAGTTACAATGGCACTGAAGAAAGTGACTTAAGATTGTTTTTCACACTTATGACCATTGCAGCATTCCTGTGGTCACATGATCAAAACTCAGATGCTCGGCAAGTAGTTCATAGTTATGACGGTTACAGCGTCCCGGGGTCATGTGATCACAATTTGTAATCCTCTGACCAGCAAAGGCAATGGGGAAGCCAGATTCACTTAACAACTGTGTTACTAACTTAACAACTGCAGTGATTGACTTAACAACTGTGGCACAGAAGGGTCGTAAAGTGGAGAAAACTCACTTAACAAACGTTTCACTTAGCACCATACCAATTTGGGCTCAATTGTGGTCGTAACTCATATATATGGGAGCATTTCCAGCATTTTTGAAATGAAGGGCTTAACAGTATTACCTAGTTTGATGTTTGCAATCTCAGATTTTTGCAAAACTCTGAAGGAGTTCTTCTGGGGCTGATTGGGGTTGTGTCAGTGCTGTATCGTCTGCCTGGAAACATCCTGACTGTGGGATTTCCTGAAGGTTTTTCAAATCTCCTGTCGATGAAAAATTTAAGGATTACCCATTGCAGACATGATGACAATAATGAACTCAGGTTGCCTTTCAAAGAGAGTTGCCTAACATTACTGACCGAGGTTTCTGAGACCAAAATTATGTACACGGTTATTTTTCACGGTTATTTTTAGTCTTGTTTTATTGCAGAGCTGGGAATTATTTTCATTCCCAACCAGTAATGAATGTCAAACAGTCCCTCGAGATAAGCACCCACCTTTCTTTCCTATGAAATGATGCCAATAACAGAAGTGTCAAATGAACTAGAAAAAAAACCAACCGAAGTACAAAGAACTTCAAAAATGAATCTGAACCGAACGAAAGACTTTGCTTCCTGCAAAGGTTTCGTTATCTTTGCCTGTGCTTTATACCTTATGGGAGGGGCAATCACCTCCCAGCCTTACTCCCAGGTCACCCCTTTTGTTTCAACTGCTCTCACCTTCTAGCAGCTCTGTGCACACGTGCCCTGGGAACAGGCTCCCCTGGGTCCTCTGCCATGCTGCTGCCAGACTCTGAAGGCTCCAGAGGCAGCACCCCACTACTAGATGGTCCTGGCCCCATCTCTGCATTGGAAGCAGGACCCTCATCCGAGTCCTCTCCAGACTCCTGGACTGATCTCCTTTCTTCCCCACTGTCCAATTCCGCTGCCACAATCACTGTCCAATTCTGCACAGGCTACCGGCAAACCACAACAATTACTGGCAGATTTCTGTTAAAGAACCTATGATCTGAGTGGACTCCTGAGATGTTTAGAAATCTTCTGCAGCTGTTTGGGGAATGGGATGATGTTTTCATAAAGGCAGATCTGCACTGTCTTTTTATTGTTTCTTTTTTTAAAGAATCCAACTCTGTTCCTGAATTTGTAATGGCAGACTCTTTCTCTTCTCAGATGAAGGCGCTTTAGTCAAAGGAGCAAAAAAACTTGGCTATGTTTTCACTGGGAGGACACCACGTTCTGTCATCATTGATGCGGTAAGAGTGTGTGGGAAGGAAGTATTGTGAGATCATTCCCAAATTTTTCTATAAGACTGCTCTGGAAATATTGCAGAGAAATAGGGCAAACAGGGCAAAATATCCCTGAGAAGATCCATCTATTTCAATGTTTCTCAACTGTGAGTACTTTAAAATGCGGGGACTTCAACTCCCAGAATTCCTCATCTGGCTGGGGAATTCTGAAGCAATTGTGGGAGCTGAAGTCCACATATCTTGAAGTTTGCCAGAGTTGAGGAACACTGATCTAACTGGTTAATTGGCAAAGCAATTCTACTCTTAGTCAGAATGGAAAACAATTGTTAACGCTGCCAGTTGGAAAGTGAGAAGTTGAAATAATGAAATCTTACCAAATTGTGCTTTTGGCATGCTCAACTAAAAGACTACACTTGAATCATTTATGTCCATGTTTCTTGAGCATTTCTGTCAGATGTCATATTAATTTTTTGAGATGGCAAAATGCAATCATGGATATTCTACCTTGGATTGGATTGGAATCTCTCCAATAGTAGCCTCTCAGGTTCTTATAAAATCCAAACAAAAAGTATGTTGAGGAAATTATGTTTTCTCTTGGGCTCTTACTGATTGGGCAGCCTGTGAAGATTAAAAAGAAAACAGTGCCAACCCTAAGCCACGATTGACAATAACACAACCAAGAAAAAGTGGAAGAAGTTTTAGATGCACTGAGAAAAAGGTAGACAATCACAATCTTCTTTACGGAGTAACAAAACTTTTAAGAAATTTTAACGATTTTCAATACAGCATTTTTAATTCTGAGATGGCAATATGCTGAGTTACAGAAAACATTCCTTTTGGCATGTTCTTAAGAATATAAATACATGGTTGTGCCCAGCAGAGGGAGCTACTTTCACATTTTTTTTTTAATATGGATATTTAAAAACAGTGCTTGCCTTCCAGTTCTTTGTGTATTTTTAGTTTTTCTTTTACTAAAGTGTGCCTTATTCTGTTATGATCCCAGCTAGGAAAAGAAGAGACATTTGAGATCCTTAACGTATTGGAATTTTCAAGGTAATTGGTTTTTAATGGCAATTGCAAGAAGTAAAAGGAGGGAAACACTTAGGAATGTCCTGCAAATTAAAAGAAATTTTCTTTGTTTCATTTCATTTGTTGAGCTTATATTTCACTGGAATTGTCTTTGGTTTGAAATCTTTGAAGCGCAGCAATATAAGCTGCATCTGACTTGGAGAGGTCTCAGTGGGATTCTACCTGACCTCTATTAATGGATTATTTACCTTTCATAGGCACAACTGAGAACTAATAGGTAATAGTTAATATTAAAGAAGTAATAGAACTGAGAACAAATCTTTGTCTTATCTGCAGATTGAATTATCTGCAAACACATATAGCAATACTTTAAAAATATATAATACCAATATTTCATGTATAAACAAACAAATAAATAAACTTGCATATAAGCCCTTCTGTGGATAAGCCATCCATCAATTTTTTAACCAAAACATCATGAAACATGCAAACTTATCAACAGGTGGCTTGTTTTTCATGGTATTTGAGGTTTGGCTTATATACAAGTATATATAGTATTTTCTTACTGCAAATAACCAGCCTGTCAGTCTTACTGAACTTCACTTGGAGAATTTCAGAACAAATTAATAGCACAGAAACAATTTTCTCTCTCCCTTCTTCCAATATTACTTACTTTTTTTAGAATAGCTATAAATGATAAACACAGTTGCTAGAAATATGGTTCTAGGCTATTTCTGATGTTTTTTAGTAATTCTGATTTTTACAGCAATTAGAGACAGATGTTCCATACAAGGCAAAATCTTGTTCTGTTCCTCATGCAGTTGGATAAATCTAAATATTGGCCTACATTTCATGTTGGAAATCCCATGACTAATCTTTCCCCTTCTTTCTTTCTCAAAAGAGGGAAAAGAAAAGGGGGAATAGATAAAGCTGGAAAAGGGTTGATAATGTGATTAAGGCAGTATCAGAAACCTTTGAAAATATTCCTCTTTCACTTTTCATTGTATCAATCTTGGGAGGCAGGGCAGAAATATCCAATAAATTATAAACTTCAGCATCTCTGACAATTTAGCCTTTATAGTTCATTGCTGTCAAACCTGACTTAGCTGCGTGGCAACTTAAACTACCATGATTTTGAATTAAATAGTGTTGTACACACACACACACACACACACACACACACACACCATTGTAAAAAATACTGCGTCAGGGCAGCTGCTGAAAATATGACATATAACTTGAGTTGAAATGACAATACCTGAAGAGAAGTGAAGAGAAGGACCAGGGAAGACATGATAGCAGTGTTCCAATATTTGAGGGGCTGCCACAGAGAGGAGGGGGTCAGTAAGCTATTTTCCAAGCAAGGCACCCAAAAGCCAGACAAGGAATAATGGATGGAAACTGATCAAGGAGAGATTCAACCTGGAAATAAGGAAACATTTTCTGACAATGAGATCAATCAACCAGTGGAATAGCTTGCCTTCGGGAGTTGTGAGAGCTTCATATATGGAGGCTTTCAAGAAGAGATTGGACTGCCATTTGTCAGAAATGATGTAGGCAGGGATGGGATCCAACCTGTATAACTACCGGTTCTGTTGCTCTGCATCGTGTGCAAGTCGTGCAAGTGCAATTTACGATCTGCTGAGCTGCCTGGAGAGCTGAGCAGTGCTGCGTGCAAGTGCACAGCGCTTGAAAAAGCCCTTTTTTTCCTGCTTTTTCAACCGCAGCTGTGCCGCGCAAAGCAGCTGCGGTTGAAAACGCAAGAAATAAAGGTCAGGTAAGAGCCCGGGCGGGCAGGTGGGCCAAAACAGCAGCAGACATAGAACCAGTTCTATGTATACTCTCTGTTTGCTCTTTTTAATAGCAACCGGTTCTACAGAAGTGGACAGAACTGGTAGAATCCCACCCCTGGATGTAGGGTCTCCTGCTTGGTCCAGATGACCCACAAGGTCCCTTCCAACTCTGTTAATCTGTTAAATCTATTACCTTTTGAAGATTATAGGAACAATGAAACTCCCTTTTTTATGTACTAAAATGTTAATCATGTGCTAAACATGGTTGACACATCACATTGTTATACAATAATACTTCCAAAATGTGGGCTTTCCTTCTTTCTGAATCTCAATTCATTCTTGATATAGTTTTACCTGTACAAAAATAGAGATATTTTGATTTAGTTTTCACTTGTTATTTTCTTTCTTTAAGTCCCACTCCCAAAAGTTGCAGTTGTAGTATGTATGTTCTGATTTAATTTAAAAGTACATTCCTAAAACTAGATACAAGAACTGTTTACACCGTAATTAAGCTGCACACACACACACACACACACACACACACACACGTGCTGTGATATACTCTGCTATGTTGTATACCTGAAAGCAAGTTTGTTGTAGTTAAGACATCAGGCTAGAAACTAGGAGATCATGAGTTCTAGCTCCACCTTAGGCACAAAGCCAGCTTTTGGGACCTTGGATCAGTCATTCACTTTAAACCAAGAAAGAAGGCAGTGGCAAGACACTTCTGAAAAACTCTACTAAGAAAACTGTCAAGACTTGCCCAAGATTAAATCAGAGGCCCCAGTAAATAAAAAAAATCAATCTGTCTGTCTGTCTGTCCGTCCGTCCATCCGTCCATCCATCCTGACATTATAGATAATTTATGACATTGGTTTTTTTAAAAAAATAAATCATATTGAAAGTTAATCCAAGATGGCGACAACGATGGCTGCCTCGGTAAAATGCTCTCTCTAATATTAAATATTTATAAACCATAGTTTATAAATCACATGTAATGGAATGTGTGGATGAGTTTGGATCTGAGGGAAGGAGATGCTGCCTAGGAAATAATAATCAGATAAGAAAAGAAGGATGGCTTAATTGTCAAAGAGAGAAACTTGGGAAGGATCCACTCTAACTGATCTGACAATTAAAAATGGCAGTGGGAAGTTTCTATCTTCAGACTTGCAAGATCTAGCCATACAATAAAATATATGTAGCTCATACGTCGTGTTTTCTGTCTGATTTCCCAGGAGGACTGACTCAAAGACTGGCTTTACACCACAGGATAAGCCATTATTAAACAAACTAAATCATAGTCTGGTACACTGTAAAGTTAGTCACTAGGTCAACCTTCCCCAACATATTTTACAGATACATTGGGACTATTACAACTTTGGAAATTCCTAAACCTTCTTTATTGCTTTTTTGTGACATTATTAACTAATCCTTACTCAAATCTCGGACTAAATTACTGTCAATTTGCATTTATGAAATACTGGCAAAATTATTCCATAAATATCTTCCACCACTTAATGGCAACTTTAATAATCATTAGCAACAACAACAACTTCTACAAATTACAATGAATGTTTGTCTTATTCCCAGTGATCGAAAGAGGATGTCTGTAATTGTCCGGACTCCAGATGGTCAACTACGTTTGTACTGCAAAGGAGCTGTAAGTATCTCCAGCCTATTGACAAAAGAATTGTGTGGTAACCCATTTTCTTTGGCATGTGTAAATATTAATGACAATAGTACTTGCACTGCTATTGAAAATTGTGTGTTCTATATGTCTCAAATGTTTCAGTAGCCATATAGTGTGGAATGTTGAGATGTTAGGACGAAAATATCTGGAATGAACTAACTGGGGAAAATGGGCTTAAAAGCCAGTGGTTCTTAATGTTTTTTTCACCACGGACCCTCTTTAAATACCTTTTGTGGCCATGGACCACTAAGACTTCATTCAAGATTTAAATCATAACTTTTTTGAAGGTTTTGTGGACCCCCTGGGATGACAGCGCAGCCCCCCATCGCACCCAGGAGTGTGATACAACCAGTGTAACAACCGGTTCAGTGAATCATAAAATGAGGCAAAACTCAACAAATGTCTAATTTAAGAAGAGAAATGTTGGGCACAATTGTCGTCATAAGTCGTATTATATCTCCACTCCTACAGATTGGACAATATATTCATAGTTCATCATTATCCATAAGAGCTACTTACTTCCTTACAATGAAGAACATTTTTTACACTGTTTGACATTTTAAAAATCTGAACCACCTTTGCTATCATGGATAATGTCAGACTTTTCATTGGTGGTAAATTGTGACTCTCCAGAAGCTCAGCTTTGCAGCTAGATATTACCCAGAGAAGAAACTTCACAGCCACAACATGGCTAGATAAGTTGTTTTGTTGCATATGGGGGGGCGGGGTGTCATAGCTACTTCACAGCAGAACACTCAAATCTTATATTAATATGTTAGCTCAGGTTTTAAATCTTAGTCTTTTTCTTCCTACATTTTGAGTTAATAAATTCTTGGTTGTTCTTTTCCTGATCTTAAGAGTTAGAGACATTGAATCCATATTTAGCCAAAGATTGTGTTAGATTGGATATTACCGGTCTGTGCCTCATTAGTTTTATCCCTTATAGATGGACAGAATATATGTCTAAAAAAGAAATGCAGGCATCATTATGGCAATTATTTATATACATTTTTTGTTGACAGGATAATGTCATTTTTGAGAGATTATCCAAAGACTCAAAGTACATGGAGCAAACTCTATGTCATCTTGAATATTTTGCCACAGAAGGTAAATACTTGTTTATTGAACTGTTTATTTATAGCACTCTAAATATTTGCTTATTGATTTAGTATTGCTCTTCTCAAGTATCAATGTGTGCTGTTCTGTAGCTAAACAAATTCTGTTTCAGAACATATGAAATGAGAAAGTTTGGGAAATTTCAGAGTTAAGAATAAGTATATATTATCCAGTCCTGCTTTTCTAAGACCGAATAAGATATAAATGAGACATCCTTGTTAGAAAACACAAATTTGTCAAACTTAGCTTTCTCCATCTTATATTCATTCATTCATTCATTCATTCATTCATTCAGCTTTTGAATCAATTTGACCTATTAAATACATACCCTAAATTTATACATATTTCTATGCCAGTTTTCCCAATATGTATACTTTTGAGTGCACTTTTCCTAATATTATGCACATTTATGTATTTTAATCTGGTTTATATAAATGTGAAGCTCATTTTATATTAACAAAATACATATATTGATGTGACCCATTCCCTGATATGTCCATATTTAACTGGAGAACTACATTTTTAAATTCTTCAAATTGCAGATATCCAGCCTATCAGTTGGCACATTGATTCAGAAAGTACAAAAGCAAGAAATGCATAGAAACAACCTAAGTGTCCAAACTCGCTTTCCATCCTTAAAATCATAGCCTTGAACTCATCTATTGTCTTTGCTATTCCAGATTTCATAAAGTTGCAAAATTAGTGTGACAGAAAAACATAACAGGGACACAAAAGAAACAAAATGTTGAAGAAAGTTACAGTTACTCATTACATTTGCAGCCTTTTAAAACCCGTGTTTGCCTCTAGGCAAAAGATATATTGAAATGCAGCTTAGTTCATTCCTACATGTATTATTCAAGCCAGCGGTGAAATAAACCTTGTTGAAAATGGACTTTGTCTGGACTGAGACTTTATTTAAAATGTGAAAAAGAAAAGATTATTGCAGTGAAGCAATGCAATAGACATGACATGTCTCAAGCTATTAGGTCTCCACAGATGTTAACTTTCTTAAACTTTGGGGCCAGAAAGGCTGAAATTGATAATGAGACTGATGGATGAAGAAATGGTCCATGTAATACTCATTTTATAAATGTTTGAATACTTTTTTTAGAGCAAACTACATCAATGCAGCCCATATTTTTCCTGGATTTCTTTAAGAGTCAATCTCTGTGGCTACTGCAATGAGTTTTGTTATGTGGCATCAATCTTTTATATCAATCACTTATTGATCCGAGTGCTCTCTTACATAGTAAATGTTTAATGGCCCTGCACTACAGGAAGAGCCTTGTATCTCCTTGTGCCTGAAAGTTTTATTTTTCTTTGTTTTAGGAACATTTGCATACTCATAATATAGCCTTTCTGTTTAGTATGGCAACTTTCCCCATTTTTTAATACTCGATGGGCAATAGAAGACAAATAAATTACACTAATGTTTGTGAATACGGACAATCAGGTTGTCCATATTCCAAAAGGAAGGAGCTGTTCTCCAGATTATTGTGGCTGTCATTTACTGTGAAATCAAGGCAAATAGCATGTGATGATTAAAAAAAAAGAGGGTTAATGCTACAAGTTAGCGAAACTGGGAAGCTAAATATTTATCTCACACCAGGATACTCTGCCTTACATTCACAATATGGGTAATCCTTGACTTACAGCCATTCACTTAGCAACTGTTTAAAGTTATAATGGATTCCCCAAAAGCTACTTAGAACCCAGTTTTGAAGTTTCAATGGCTGACACCCACTGGTCATGTGACCACATTTTGATTGCTTGGCAACCAGCCCACATTTATGATTGTTTGCTGTGCCCCACAGTTACATGACCACAATTTATAACAGTTTTGCCAGAAAACAGCATTTATTTCCAGTTTTTAAAAGCATTTATTTCTGAAAAACAGCCCATAGTGAACAATGGGCTTACTTAACAACTGTGGCATTCACATTTCAAAAAATAAAACTGCATTGTGCAGTGCCAAATGTTATGCTGAGCCCAAATCTGCTTGGTATGTTCTTTCCTTAGGAAATGTGGACAGATAGTCTTTATTTAGCAACTTCCTCGTTATTGACCATTTACAGTTACACAGCGGATGAAAAAAAGCATCCTGCCCTTACATTTATAACTTTAGCACAGGATGTCAAACTCAAGGCCCATGAGCCGGATCTGGTCCACAGGGGTGCTTAGATCTGGCCCATGGGGCCGCCTTGGAAACAGAAAAAAACCAGCCCACAGGGCCTCTGCCAGCGAAAACGGAGCTTGCGGCCCTACCAAGCTCTGGTTTTGCTGGCAGAGCAGTCGGGCCACCACGGGCACCCCTGACATCGAGCTGGCCATGCTCCCCCAGCTCCCCAAGGTCAAACACAACCCTGATGTAGCCCTCAATGAAATCGAGTTTGATACCCCTACCTTAGCAGGTCGGTAAAGCAAAGCAAAGTCAAAGTAAGGTCATAAGCACCATTGTAATTTCAATGATGTAGTAAAAGTTAACAACTGAGTTGTCAGCCCCAGTTGTGATTGCTAAACACGGACTAGCTGTATTCCTTGTTTTGGGGGATTATTTTTTTTTGCACCAAATACATTTGAGTGTATAATTTATAATCTCAAACGTATTACTCTAATAAGTTTGAAAATCAGCTTCTGTATGTGAAGGCAGTTTGGGGTTTCAGGTGCATCAAGTTTGTTCATTTACTTAATAATTACTTTCCTGTCTGAAGTTTAAGCTAACTTCCCTAGATGTTTGGGTTGAACTTCTGTATTTCTTTTTCTAGGTTTGAGGACTTTGTGCATCGCATATGCAGACCTTTCAGAAAACTCTTACCAGGAATGGCTGGACGTATATAACGAAGCCAGCACGAATTTGAAAGATAGAACTCAAAAGTTGGAAGAGTGTTATGAGATAATTGAGAAGGTTAATAAACATAATTTTGCTTCTTTTAATTTGTACTCCCTCCTTTATTTAGATGTTGCACAATTATGCCTGGGAGAGAGAGAGTTCAAAATGGGGTACTATTCCAATCCAAGTTTTACACAGCTAAGGTTATTATATTTGCTTGGAGAAGGAGTATCTCCAAAATGCTGTTTGTTAGGAGCTACTTGAGTATTATCCATTTATTAAATCAGTTGCTAGTTACTGCAAACAGCTGATTGGAGCTTGGACTTTGCTTGTGTCATAGGAGCCGTGCCTTAGGTGGCCCCAGTCTTCAGTTGCTGCTACTCATAGTTGGGTTAGTCTCAGATCTGCCTCATTAAACCATATATGATTTCGGTTCTGCCTCATTAAATCATATGTGGTTTAATCATATATTAGTGGAGCCTGGGGAGCCAGTAAATGAAATGACTCCTTCGGGTTTTGGGAAAGAGAAGGGGAGTAGCTTTGGTCATTCGGAAGCTCCCCTGCATTTGTAAAATACACAACTGTTTGTGAAGTTAGATTTGGGACCAACCATTGCTATTGTCCCAGCTTTTCTGCTGAGCAGCTGTCTCTCTCTACATGAGTTGCCAAATGCTGTGGCTGGGTTGATGGTGGTCTTGGGTGATTTTAGTCTGCCTTTCCCGGGTGTGAGAAAAGTCATAAATGACTCAAGAGTTCAAGACTATCATGGCAACCATGGACCTGATCAGTAGTGGGATTCAAATTAACCACTGGTTCAGTGGGCGTGGCTTGGTGGGCATGCTTTGCCTAATGTGCACATGCAGCTTTCCCCACACCAGCTGACGCCTGCAGCGCCAATCAGCTGAGAGGATAAAGAAGAGAAAAGCACAGGGCCGGGTGGGAGGGCCAATCCTGCACTTTTCTTTCTACTTTCAGCTGATTGTAGGAGGCTTTTCCACCCTCTCAGCTGATAGTTGGAAGCTTACTACGGTTCCGATGAATCGGTCTGAACCAGTAGCATACCACCACTGGACATGATGCTGGCTGTTGAATGTCCAACTCATAAGGAAGAAGAGCACACACTGCAGTTGTTTTTTTTTTAAAAATCTCAGGCAGTTGTGATGCTATCTGGAATTGAGGAAGGGTTGTTATCATCATTTCCCTATCACGGACTTCCAGTTGGAGTTTTTTAAGGCTTCCCTTCATCACAATTGGTTTGGCACAGAGAAGCAATTGATCCAGAAGGAGCTTGGGTTGTCCGGGGACTTTTGTGTCTGGTTTGGTTGAGATCTTAGTTATTGCTTGGAAATTAGTGGGTGGTGGGTTACCTTGGATTAAATCATACACGTATGAAAACTTGCTGCTTTGAATTCTGGAGAATCCCTTGCATTTTGTGCAAGATGAAATGGCAAACGTAATGCAATTGGCAGAAGATGAACAAAATCTGACCAAGAATGAGTAAAGAGTGTGTGTGAGTATAGCTCCACTCTTGTTACATCAGCATATGCAATCATCCAGATGTAACAATATGAGTAGTTAAACATAAGCTGTTCTGGTTCCTGGTAACCACCTATATGCAATTCTTAGCTTTAAATTAGGAGACTCTACTGTAGTTATTTCTGTCCACCCTATTATGTTGGGCAGAATAAGCATGCTCCTGGTCCCCTTTTTGATCCAGTGTCATCTAACTGGATCTAGGAGAAAAGCATTTAGTTGGATATCACCCTTTGGGAAGAAATCCCACCCTCTCCCATTCCCCCAGATTCAGGCAGGTCCGGTCTTATTTGGTTTTTTTCAGAGCCTCTCTTGTAGAGCTGTGAAGTTCTGTTTTTCCTTCTGTGAATTGGGCCAGGATGGTAATTGCGCCTGTCTTGCTGGGAGTGAGAATGTTACTGAGTGCTATTCCCAATCCTAATTATGCACTTGTGTTCAGATGTGGTTTTTAAATTGACTTTTCTATCATTTTTCTTTGGCTTGGCTTATTCAGGATTTTTACTGATGCACACTGTCAAGAATTGTAAATTATAAATTTCTTAAATAAATAAGTCAGTTCGAATAAGACAATTTGACTAATAGGAAGTTTTGGTGATTTTTTAACTTCCCTATAAAACTGCATTGGTTAGAAATCCTGGAAGGAACTTGCTGTGTTTTGGAAAAAGGAGCATAGCTTGGGTCTCCAACCTTGGCAATTTTAAGCCTGGTGGACTTCAACTCCCAGAATTCCCCAACCAGCACTGGGGACCTCTGGCTTGGAGGGAAGCAACAAGATTATTTTCCAGCTCTTTGGGGGTATCATTATTTAGGACCTTTTCATCTCAGACTTTGTAGACTGGGATGAAATTGAGAAGCTAGTCCACAAGAGTGTGCTGAAAAATGGAACTAAAATATGACAGTAACCCATCTCTGTCCTTTCCTACTGTCTTGGAATTTGTCTACTAAAGGGAAGGACCAAAATGGATGAGTTTATCTTTTCTTAAGATAAAGAAATGGATAAATTTTTTCCCTAATGCCACATTTTCAAACATTTTTCACACTTAGGTCAACTGCTCAAAAGTGCTCAAAAGCTTTCCATTCCTGTGGCTTACTATTTGGTTTAAAAATATTAAATCAAAAGATCATTTTCCTGGAACACATGTTTAAAAGTGTTGTTTTTTAAATTGCTACAGCATAACTTTCAAAATACACTAATCATCTCTTAAATGAACATTTGGCTTGTACGTTTGGTTTGTAACCTAACCATTCCTCTTCCAGAATATATCATGTAGTGACTGAATATATACACTTTCTCTTTATGGAAACATCGAGTTCTGTTCAATGTTTTTCAAAATATCAGTTATTTTTTTAACCCATTAAATATAATCTATTTGTAGTTACAGCTTTTGGCAAATGACATGCCTCCCTGCCTAAACATGGAGCAAGGTTCAAATTGGAGCTGATTTGTAACTTACGAATGCACATGTACTCTAATAGATACATAAATAATATCCTTCATTGGGTATAAGCTAACAGTACACGAATGACTATATGTGCAAAAGAGCACATTGAACTTAATAAGGGCAAACAGCACATGCTATTAAGTCCTGCATGGCTGCCTACATGGTCGTATCAACAGTACAATCTACTGTGCTAATTTAGAAAGCTATCATCATCATCATCATCATTTAACGATCCCATAATCCCTGGCGGGGGTGGAGTCTGGGCAACTGATTGGAGCTAGCAGAGCGTTTAATGGCCAGATGCAGAGGTGGTATTCAGCAGGTTCTAACCAGTTCTGGAGAACCGGTAGCGGAAACTTTGAGTAGTTCGGAGAACCAGCAAATACTACCTCTGACTGGAGATTTTACAGTATCCTTCCCCTGCCACGCCCACCAAGCCATGCACACAGAACCGGTAGTAAAAAAAATTTGAATCCCACCATTGACTGGATGCCCTTCCTGTTGCCAATGTGAAGTTTTTTTCAGCAGATGTATTCTCATTGTGCCCAGAGAGAGAAATATCTGCCTCTACCTAGGATTGAACTCAATTACCTCAATTGTGAGGTAAGAGCTCCACCTCTAGGTCACTGCACCACTCTTTTTAGAAAGCTATAAACCTGCTACAAAAAGAGTACCTTCCTTCTAAATCCCTTTTAGAAATCAAGCTTCTAGACAATGGATGGGAAACATCAGGTAACCATTTCATTTAATTCTCACTTGAAAGCATGCAATTCTCACTGCATGCTTTCCTCCACTGTTGATCTTTTAAAGTTTCAATTACTATTATTTCTTAAAGCAGGTATTCTGATGATTTCTGAAATGGCTAGCTTTATGCTTATATGTCCATTAACTACATTGGTTTGTCGGCAACAACAACAAAAAAGTAAGACACAACTTGCTATCATTATTTTTATTTTTGAGCATCATCCATTTCTTTCTCCTTCAGGAATTGCTGCTTCTGGGTGCAACAGCAATTGAGGATCGCCTTCAAGCTGGCGTCCCGGAAACAATATCTACTCTAATAAAAGCAGAGATCAAGATTTGGGTACTAACGGGGGACAAACAAGAAACTGCTATCAATATAGGTAACAACTCTTCAATTTTCCCAGTGAAGTTGTCCTTTGCAAATGCCACCAGACATAAATTGTAGATCTTGAAGTTAGGGTATAAATGAAAGATGACTGCTTTGGCAAGTTATCTGATTGATTGGAACTCTATAGGAGACAGTCAATCCAATGGAACAATTGGAAAATTCCTGGAATATTGCACCCATAATTCCAAGGAATGTCATTAGTGCAGGCAATTTGATTGATTCTAGCTTCTCATTTTATATATATGTATTAATTATGCTACATTATGCTACTTCAGTGGATAATAAGGGTATGACATGCTGAAAGAAATCTAACCAATGAAATAATTACTGCAATAGCATCAACGCAAATTGCCAAATATATTGTATGAATCAAAAGTTTTTCTTTTAATGGAGCTGCAGTAAATGGGGCAGAGAGAATCGGTCCAAATAGGATGGAAGGAGCAATTGTGAGCAACTTCAAGTATATAAAAATAATAAATGATCTATGATTCAATGTTTTATAAATAGTGTAGAAACCCAAAAGGATAATATCACAAAATCATTAAAAACCTTAACGTTCCTGTGGTTAAATCAGTTTTCCTCAATAAAACTTAGTCACTTTCATTTAGACATATAGACTAAATAGTAACTAAAACCCAACAATTATATAGCATCCTGAATTTAATTTTAAAAATCAATAATCCCCAATGACAGTTGGAAAAATTCAAACAGAATGTTTGCTAGTTTCAGGATGTTTAAATGGAGCTTAATATCAGCTTTCTTACATTTTCATTATAGTATTAATATTTTATTCCTGTGTTATATGAACAATCTGTATTTCACCATTACCCCATTGCTTTTCAGCTCCAGCTCTGCTACTCAAGCTTTATTTTTTAAGTTGAAGGGTTGATTGATTTCTATAGCTGCCCATCTCAGTCATTGACTCTGGGCAGCTTACAATTCAAACAATATATTAAAATTAAAAAACTTAGAACATTTTAAAACAATAAAAACATCATATCTGTATCTATATCTATATCTATCTCTGTCTCTGTCTCTCTGTCTATCTATCTATCTATCTATCTATCTATCTATCATCTATCTACTTATCTATCTATCTTGCAGGCGAGATACTTGGCCAGTTAGCAATACAAGATAGGCCTTAACAGCAGGATGGCGAATCTATGCCACGTGTGCCAGAAGTGGCATGCAGAGCCATCTCTCCGGGCACGCCAGCCATCACCTGTTGCTCTTCTGGGTTCCGGTCTGCACATGTACATTAGAAACCAACTGGCTAACTGGTCTTCTGGTTTCTAACGTGCATGCATTCACAAAGACCAGCTGGCTGGTGTCCATGAAAGTGTGAAGACTAGCTGGCTGGCTGGTTTCTAATGGGCATGTGCGCGCCGGCCAGCTGGTCTTCATGCATGGAGGCATATATATTCCTAATGGATTTTATCATTAAAGGGTACTGGTAGTCTTAACTTCCTGCAAAAGTTTGAGGGGCTGCTTTTTGCAAAGTTAATTTAAGCTGCAATTGTATAACTCCAGTTGTCCATTCTCTATTTTCCATGTATTCAGTAACACCCCTCCTTATTAACAGTATTACTGTGTACTCTTCCTGGAGTTTAATTTTTCACTGTTCTGTTCAATTCCAGGTGCTCTTGCACCAAGTGCTTTTGACTTTTGTGATACCAAAGACAATACCCACTAAGACCAGGAGTTCAACTATAATTTAACAAAGGCTTTTAATGACAAAGTCCTGAATTCACTTGTATTTAGTAGAGTTTAAATAGCCAGTAGGTCCTATTAGTTACACTTAAAATTGGAATAGCCTCCTGAGAAGCAGAGGTGGGATTCTACCAGTTCGCACCTATTCGCTAGAACCAGATGTTAACATTCTAAGCAGTTTAGAGAACCTGTTGTTAGAAGAACTTACTGGCCTAATCCTGTAAGGAAGGCAGGAAGGAAACATTCTGGTGTTGCTTACAGAAACTTCCTTTCCGTTAACCCTTATTACATTCTTGGCAGGGCTAGACTTCCTGTCTCAGGAATTTCTCTGGAGTTTTTTCCTCCTTCTTTGCTGGTACTTTGCTTGTGTGGAGTGACCATTCAAAGTTACAATGGCACTGAAAAAAGTGACATGACCATTTTTCACACTTATGACTGTTGCAGCATCCCCACAGTCATGAGAGGCCAGGAGAGGAGATGCTTGCCTCAATGTGAGTGATATTGAGTTGGCCACGCCCAGCCAATAACATGACCCCCAAGCCACGGCCACCCAGTCACATGACCACCAAGCCATGCCCACCAACTAAACCGCACCCACAGAACTGGTTGTTAAAAAATTTGAATCCCACCCCTTCTGAGAAGTAACATTTGAAATGAAGCGTCAGTAAATCATATGATATTTCTTGCTTCCCACAGTAGCAAAAAATGTAAAAATACATTCAGTAGCTGAAACAAATCAAGGAAGATATTCAGTACAGATCTTGATGGCAAAGCCTGAAGCCCAATTATGCTATGGAAAGAAGGAGAAATATTACATTTTGTCTGCTTCAGATAGTTTTTTGTTGGACTGTAACGGTACCTTCCTCTCATATAATCTCTTCAATGCCATTAGATTGATAGGATGGATGGATGGATGGATGGATGGATAGATAGATAGATAGATAGATAGATAGATAGATAGATAGATAGATAGATAGATAGATAGATAGAT